ATTTATTGAATGTACTGTGCCAAAACTCGGGGTTTAAGATCCCTTTTTTCAAAAATAATTCCAGAATTTGGGGGTGCGGCCCAGTAAAAGGCTGACCTGGGTCACCCTGTCCCTGATCATTGCTGACTGGCTGGTCCAGGGGCAGACATCTGGTCCAAGCTGGACCCATCTGAGTCCTTCGCTAAGATTTGCCAAACCCAAGGAGGGGCGTCCAGGCTACATGAGCTTTTGACAAAGGCAGAGAGTTATGCATCTGCCACCCTGAACCAGACAGAACAACCCATAAAAACAGAGAAAAAAACCCACAGAACAACCCATAAAAACAGAGAAAAAAACCACAGAACAACCCATAAAAACAGAAAAAAAAACCACACAGAACAACCCATAAAAACAGAGAAAAATCCCACAGAGAACAACCAATAAAAACAGAGAAAAACCCCAGAGAACAACCCTTAAAAACGGAGACAAGATGTGGCCTCTGTGAAGTGTGATGTGTGAAGGGCAGATGGAGATGTGGGGAGATGCTCACACACTTGGTCACGAGAGACTGAGGACCTGGGGCCAGGAACCTCAGTGCTGGCAGGAGCACATGTAGTGCAGGCCCTGTGGGGAGTGGGTCTGCCGTGTGACACCCCACGGGCTCCCGACGGGCCTGCCCTGACGCCCCACACGCTCCCGACGGGCCTGCCCTGACGCCCCACACGCTCCCGACGGGCCTGCCCTGACGCCCCACACGCTCCCGACGGGCCTGCCCTGACGCCCCACACGCTCCCGACGGGCCTGCCCTGACGCCCCACGGGCTCCCGACGGGCCTGCCATGACCGCCACACACTCCTTACAGGCCTGCCGTGTGATCCCCACAGGCTCCCGGTGGGCCTGCCCTGAAACTCCACAGGCTCCCGACGAGCCTGCCCTGACACCCCACGGGCTCCCAACGGGCCTGCCGTGTGACGCCCCATAGGTTCCCGACAGGTGCGCTGAGGAGAAGCTTGGACGGGATGGGAGGCGCAAGTGCAGACACACGGGAATTCCCACCGGCCTCACTGCACCCTGTGAATGTGGATGACGCTGGATCGACGGGACCTCTGTGGTCAGTGGGAGAGCGGGCGCTATTGTACTTTACAGCGCAGGAGAGGACCACACGGGGCAGGAGCCAGAGCACTGTCAGTTCTCCAAGAGAATGGTCCTGTGCTCAGTGGAGCTGCGTTTATCAGAGCCACTGCCATGGGGGTCTGGCCGGCGCATCCGGGTGGCATGGACGCACAGATGAAGGGGACTCAGGGCCACCTGCCTGGGGCACCTCCGCCCGTCATGGCAGGACTCCACCGTCTCCTCGTCTTCAGGCTCTTCCTGGGACTTCCTCCAGGCAGATAACCTTGCTGTTCATCACAGGCACCCATCAGCTCTCACAGAAACATCCACAGCTTACACCCGAAGCCACCTGAAGCCCTGGCCTTGAGCCCCTCCCTGTGTGGTGTCCACCAGTGGTGACAGTGTCCTTTCGAGGGTAGACGCCCCACCTGCAGGAGATTTCCCTCCTGGCCTCTCTCTCAGCTGTGGTCAGAGCTACAGCGAGCTTGCCCTGTGATGACGGACCCAGCCCTGACGGGGAGCTTGCCCTGTGATGCGGGGGCTCAGCCCTGACGGGGAGCTTGCCCTGTGATGCGGGGACCCAGCCCTGACGGGGAGCTTGCCCTGTGATGACGGGGACCCAGCCCTGATGGGGAGCTTGCCCTGTGATGATGGGGACCTGGCCCTGATCGGGAGCTTGCCCTGTGATGACAGACCCAGCCCTGACGGGGAGCTTGCCCTGTGATGATGGGGACCCAGCCCTGACGGGGAGCTTGCCCTGTGATGACGGGGACCCAGCCCTGACGGGGAGCTTGCCCTGTGATGCGGGGGCTGAGCCCTGACGGGGAGCTTGCCCTGTGATGATGGGGACCCGGCCCTGATCGGGAGCTTGCCCTATGATGACGGGGACCCAGCCCTGATGGGGAGCTTGCCCTGTGATGCGGGGGCTCAGCCCTGATGGGGAGCTTGCCCTGTGATGACGGGGACCCAGCCCTGACGGGGAGCTTGCCCTGTGATGCGGGGGCTCAGCCCTGATGGGGAGCTTGCCCTGTGATGACGGGGACCCAGCCCTGATTGGGAGCTTGCCCTGTGATGATGGACCCAGCCCTGACGGGGAGCTTGCCCTGTGATGCGGGGGCTCAGCCCTGACGGGGAGCTTGCCCTGTGATGATGGACCCAGCCCTGACGGGGAGCTTGCTCTGTGATGCGGGGGCTCAGCCCTGATGGGGAGCTTGCCCTGTGATGACGGGAGGGACCCAGCTCTGTCTTGCCCACGGGCTGTTGGTTATGTCTGAGCTGCCAGCCGGCGACCTGCTGGGGTGGGCAGAGTTTAGGGCAAGTTGACCCAAGAACAGCCGTGGGTCTGCAAATAGCCTGAAAGAACTGACAGACGGCTGTCCTGGTTTTGGATGGAGACACTGCTCATCCAGTGTGAGGGACGTCTTTTTTGTCAGGAAGGGCAGGACGTGCTCAGGTGCCCACGAGTGTTTCAGGGCGTTCATTCTTCCAGGCTATCTGCAGTCTTCACCGAAGGAACTGTTTCCTGCACCAGCGGCACACGCTTGTCCCCATGGCTGCGGCATCGTGGGGCATCTTTTATCCTGGCAGGGCCTGAGTCTCTCGACACACGAGGCAGAGCCAGGCCTTTCTCAAGGCATCAGAGGGCTGCGGACGGGCAGGTCGGTTTTCAGTCCCGGGTTGGGTGTCGCACGCCTGGAGTCCTGGGGGCGCTGGTAAGGGGTCTTCACGTGGCCATGAAGGAAACCGGCTCACCCTGCAGAGGTCACTTTGGGGACCCACAGAGTGACCACCCCGCAGAGGCTCGGTAGAAAGGACTTTATTTAGAAATTGGTGCTACAGCACCAGGAGCCATGCAGACAGTGGAGCTGGAGCCTGAGCTGGCTGCCCCGGGAAGTAAGTCCTGACCTGGGCCCCCCGGAAGTAAGTCCTGACCTGGGCCCCCCGGAAGTAAGTCCTGACCTGGGCCCCCCGGAAGTAAGTCCTGACCTGGGCCCCCCGGGAAGTAAGTCCTGACCTGGGCCCCCCGGAAGTAAGTCCTGACCTGGGCCCCCCATGAAGTAAGTCTTGACCTGGGCCTCCCGGGAAGTAAGTCCTGACCTGGGCCCCCCGGAAGTAAGTCCTGACCTGGGCCCCCCGGGAAGTAAGTCCTGACCTGGGCCCCCCATGAAGTAAGTCTTGACCTGGGCCCCCCGGGAAGTAAGTCCTGACCTGGGCCCCCCGGGAAGTAAGTCCTGACCTGGGCCCCCCGGAAGTAAGCCCTGACCTGGGCCCCCCGGAAGTAAGTCCTGACCTGGGCCCCCCATGAAGTAAGTCCTGACCTGGGCCCCCCGGAAGTAAGTCCTGACCTGGGCCCCCCGGAAGTAAGTCCTGACCTGGGCCCCCCGGAAGTAAGTCCTGACCTGGGCCCCCCGGGAAGTAAGTCCTGATTGAGGAGGGTTGATCTGCACCCGACACTCTTTGTTAAAGACCGAATCTGATAATGTGGGCCTGGGTCAGCAGAACATAATCCCCATAGAAAACCCTACGGAAAAGCAGACGTGAACTGCGTTTGCGTTCGCGTGGCCAGGACGCCAGCTTCCTCTTGTGTTACGTTGAAGCAGGGCCCGGACGTCGCCAGGGAATTTATGTGGGAAGCACACCTTGACATGAAAAATGCAGCGTTTTGTCACAAGTAACGGTTTTCCTAGAAATGCCGCTAGCTGGTTGCTCTAACGAATGACTTTCTAAAACTCAAAAGCCCAACCCTGGGTCTTGCGGTGACTGGCACCGTGAAAGCCACAGAGCTGGGGTGGTGCTTGGTGCTCCGGCCACAGAGGCCAGCGTGGATATGACTGTGTGGGTCTCCCGTGCCCCGGCTGGGGGCTTCACACCAGCTACCCAGGGTCCAAACCCCTGTCTCCTCTGGTGAAGTGCGAGTGTGTGGCAAGCTGTGGAGGCCACGGGTGGGCTCTGGGGTGGGCGGGGCAGCGGACAGGCTGTGGAGGCTACAGGCCTTCATGGCTGCTGGAGGCCGAGGGTAGCAGTGGCCTCTGGGGTACAAGATGGGTGAGGCACTGTCTGGGTCACCGCCGCAGAGCCTCCACCTTGGAGCTGCTGTGGGGTCCTTTCTAGGAGGCAGGGCTTTGCCCAGGGTGGGGAGCTGACTCACACGGGCTGTTCTAAGCTGGGGGGCCCTGAGCCATGGGTGAGGGGCCCAGCCCAAGGTGCTAGCTCCAGTAGGAGGTCTCAGGCACCTGGGAGTCTGGGCTGGGGAGGGGCACCAGGCAGGGGAGGGGAGGAGGGGGTTCTGGGTGTGGGTGGGGGATGAACACAGGCAGGGTCTCAGACAGGAGGTCTCAGAGCCTGGGAGCTTCGGTCAGCATGGAGGTCTGAGTCCCCCCACCCTGGGAGCTGTGGTTGGCATGGAGGTCTCAGAGTCCCCCCCCAGGGAACTGAGGTCAGCATGGAGGTCTGAGTCCCCACCCCTGGGAGCTGTGGTTGGCATGGAGGTCTGAGTCCCCCCACCCCAGGAGCTTCGGTCGGCATGGAGGTCTCAGTCCCCCCACCCCGGGAGCTGCGGTCGGCATGGAGGTCTCAGAGCACCCCGCTGCCGTCCCTGGGAGCTTCAGTCGGCATGGAGGTCTCAGAGCACCCCCCTGCCGTCCCTGGGAGCTGCGGTCTACAGAGATCTGAAAGTCCCACAGCTGCAGTCAGCATGTAGCTCAGAGGTCAGCTTTGGTCCTCGGTTGCTCAGCCGACCTAGGCTGGCGCAGAAACCCGCTCAGGGAGCAGCTACTCTGAAGTTGGCACAGTCAAGGTGGGGGCTGTTGCTGTTTGGTGGGGGAATTGCCGGGAACTGGGTAAGAGCCACTTATCTGTGTGTGAGAGGTGCAGACAGGCACAAAACTCCTGGGAAGTTCAGTCTCCTGTTCATTTTTAAATTTAGCTTTTTAATTCTAGCAGAAACACGCAAACCTCCAAGACTCTTGTGCCGTCCCGGCTCTGTCTGCTGGGAGGAGACAAGCTGTGCCTGTTCCCATGGGGTCCCCTGAGCCTCCATCTCCCGGTCCAGCTCCCCAGGGCCCCGGGGCAGAGGGGCCTCACTAACTGAGACTCGGCTCCTGCCTCCGGGCCCCTGCCCCCCTCGGAGTCGGGTTCAGGTCTGGAATTGCACACCAGGCCCACGCCTGAGCTTGGCTACTGGAACGTGGCCTTCATCCTCCGTAGCTTGTCCTGAATCTTCCGTGAGTGCTTCTCGCTGGGGACATGGTGGAAGTTGGCCCTGCTGTCTGCGGCCAGCGTGGAAATGTTGGCGCCGCTGAAGCGGGTGATCCTCTGCCGGAGGTATGACTGGAGCTTGGGGTCAGGGCTGAACGTATAGGGGTTCTCCTGGAACGCGTGCACCTGGCTCACCACCTTGGCGATGTTTCTTCCGTCGGGGGAAGAAGAGACGTTAGTTTGCATGGGGCAGGGGCGCGGCTTCCCCGGGCAGGGATTCCCCTGGAGTTCTTAGCAATCATTTGTGCTAAACCTTTTCACCGCGTAAATGCTGAAGGGTGGGTTTTCTGTGTTTATTGACGGGGCCAAACCTCACGCCACTGCTCAGACCTTCCCGTCTGTCTGCCTGTCCATCCGTCTACCTCTCGATCACAAACGAGGGGGTTTATGGAAACCCCACAGGGTCAGACTTGTCCATGCTGAGCCTCCCAAGAGGAGTAAAGGCCAGTTGGCCGCAGGGGCTGCAGCTGAGGGGACGAGGCAGGCAGGGGACGCTGCTGCCACGTGGAGTGTTCACACCCGGGAATCACCACGGCTGTGGCCACGGCCGCTTTCCTGGGAGAGCCGCTTGTGGGCAGTGACCAGCTGTAAACCTCTAGTGCCATTTTCTTTCTTTGGAGGCAGAGTCTCACTGTTGCCCAGGCTGGAGTGCAGTGGCACAATCTCGGCTCACTGCAACCTCCGCCTTCCAGGTTCAAACAATTCCTCTGCCTCAGCCTCTTGAGTAGCTGGGATTACAGGTACCAGCTACCATGTCCAGTAAATTTTTTTGTATGTTTAGAAAAGACAAGGTTTCGCCATGTTGGCCAGGCTGGTCTTGAACTCCTGGCCTCACGTGATCCACCTGCCTCAGACTCCCAAAGTGCTAGGGTTACAGGCGTGAGCCACCGTGCCCAGCCTACCTTAAGTTTTTATTTTTTTTGAGATGGAGTTTCGCTCGTTACCCAGGCTGGAGTGCAATGGCACGATCTCGGCTCACTGCAACCTCTGCCTCCCGGGTTCAAGCAATTCTCCTGCCTCAGCCTCCCGAGTAGCTGGGATTACAGGCATGTGCCACCGTGCCCAGCTAATTTTTGTATTTTTAGTAGAGACGGGGTTTCACCATGTTGACCAGGATGGTCTCGATCTCTTGACCTCGTGATCCACCCGCCTCGGCCTCCCAAAGTGCTGGGATTACAGGCTTGAGCCATCGCACCCGCCCAAGTTTTTAGTTCTCTTTTGCTGATGTGGGTTTTCCGATTTCTTACAATGAGCGTACATTTATGGCGTATTGTAAATACTGCTTTTAACTTGGTGCCTATCTAAGAAGGAGACCTTTGCATGTATCAGGTTGGGGATCCGTGGACACCTGGTCCACTGGGCACTGCTCCCAAAGTGAGGCCGTCTTCCCTGGAGGGGGATGGAGCTGCCATTGCCTGGGCAGCCTCCTGACCGTGTGTGGACAATGGAGAGACAGAAGAGACGGGAGGCTGTGAGACTGTGTCTCGAGGGAGGGAGTGAGGTGAACGGGGACTGAGGGTGCCTGAGCCTGCTGGTCACAGGCCTGAGCCTCAGGAGAGGCTGGGCTGTGGCTTCCCAGGTGGAAGACCCTGTGTGGCCAAGGGCGTGTGAGCTGTGGGTCGTGGTGGTAGGTTCTATAGCCAGCCTATCTGTGCCTCCCAGGCGGCATGCTAGGTCACTGGCCCCGGGTGGTGGCGGGACAGCAGGACACAGGAACAGGCTGAGGACTCATGATAGGTCCCACGTGGGTGCCTCTAGGGAAAGGGCTCTGAGGGGATCAGGGATGCGGTGGCTGGAGGTCACCCTTGGGGAGAGGGAGCCCTGAGGCTGCAAAGACCAAGCGAGGGGTTAGGTACTCCGGCCTCTGAAAAGCAGGGACAGGAGGAGAGGTACCACCTGAGCCTGCCCAGCCTGGGGGTGAAGCAACCTGAGGCCCTCCCCACCTGGGGGTGCGGCCACCTGAGCCCCTCCTCACCTGAGCTTGCTCCACCTGTGGGCCCCGTTGGTCATGGTGAAGCCACCGGTCTCCAGCTGCTGGATGTGCATGGCCAGGAGGTGGGCCGAGGGCAGGGTGGGCTGTGCCCGGAAGCGCCGTCCTTCCATCAGACACAGGCTGTCGCTCTTCAGGAAGACCTGGTGGTCCAGCCAGGGCGTGGGCCGGGGAGAGACAGGGTGAGGTCAGTACGGGAGCCAGCTGGGCCTGGCCTAGCCCACCCATTCCCAGTTGGTCCTGTGTTCTCACGTGTGGGGGTACCTAGCACTCTGAATTAGCTTCCAGTCATGAGTATGACGGGTGGACTTGGCTCGCACCTGCAGGCTCTTACACGAGGCCCTGACAGCAGCTGGAGCCTTTGTGCCTCCGGCTACTGAAAAGGGGAGTCCCTTTACTTGCTCTCTGCCGGACTCCAGGAAAGAGCCAGGTGACCCGACTTCCCCAAATGAGACCCAGGCTGGTTGGTCAGGGCCTCGCATCTGCGGTCCGGCAGGGACATGCAGGAGCCCTCCCGCCTCTGGAGAGCTGCAGCTGGGGCTGAGGCCGGGCTCGGTCACCTAGGACCGTGCGGGTCACGGCTGCTCTGGGGTTTGTCTCTCATTTTGGGGAATGTCCAATCGTTTCCAGCAGCGCTTCCTTGTTCATTATCTCAGGAGGATACCCCTGCCATCCTGGAGGAGGTCCAGGTCAGTCAAGCTCAGGCCCCAGCCACAGACCTCAGTGCTGTGCTCTGGGGCACCTGTACTCTTGTGTGGGGACCTTAGACCAGCAAGGCCTGTGACCGAGCAGGCAGGACAGCTTTGCACAGGTGGTGGCGGAGTCCCCACAGGAGACGACTCCTGGGCCTCACAGTGAGGCCACCCCAGCCGGGCCACCTGTGCACACCCCGTGGCGCCTGTGTCTGGGTGAGTGTGGCAGGCCACCTGTGCACACCCCGTGGCGCCTGTGTCTGGGTGAGTGTGGCAGGCGCTACCCAGCGGGTTGTTTAGGAGAGGGTCCGCCTGGGAGAAAGCCGCCCAGCCGAGGAAAGTGCTGGTACCTCCACAGCTTTCAGCTCCTCCATGACCGCTGCAATCTTTGCAGGCAGAATTCTCCAGGCCTGAAATGTTAGCACAGGTGAGACTCCAAGGCCGAGCCGGTGCCCACCCCGCACTCTGAGGGCCCGAGGTTCTGCACGCACAGGGGACTGCCTGACGGCCGGGTGCTCCAGCCCGCCCAGGATCTGCATGGCTGTTGAGAAGTTTCTCTGCTCGTAGCAAGATTTGGCAATCAGCAAAAACTTGGACAGCAAGTTCACCTGCAGCTGCAATGAGAAAAGGACACGTTCAGCGTCTTCTGGTTTAAGATGAACAAAGGGAGCATTTGAGAACCTGTTAAAACCACCCAGATTCAAGACAGGGAGTGCGTGCCGCTCGTGTGTGGAAGGGAAGCAGCCATGTGGACGCAGGTGAGTGGGGCCAAGGCTGTGGAGGGGGATGGGGTGGGCATTACTCCAGACAAAACAAAATAAAAGCAATGTCCGATAAGTGGAAAGGTTGAAAATAAGTCCAGCCTCACTTCTCAAAAGCCAAATCGTGCCAGGACGTCCTCCCCAGGCATCTTTGGGACTGGGAAAGGTGTCCCCACCCAGGGAGAGGCAGTGTCATGTCCAGAGGCAGACGGAGAGCCACAGGCAGCTCCTTGCCCCCCACCGAGCCCATGGCAGGAGCGTTTGGGTGCAGTCCAGGGGTGGGCGCTTGGGTGCCGCCACCTCCGTGGCTCTGTGGCTGGTGGAGATAGCGGTGATGATCCTGGTGGAGATGGTGGTGATGATCCTGCTGGGTTTGGAGGGAACACCCCATGATCTTCTCTGTGGCTCTGTGGCTGGTGGAGATAGTAGTGATGATCCTGCTGGGTTTGGAGGGAACACCCCATGATCTTCTCCGTGGCTCTGTGGCTGGCGGAGATGGCGGTGATGACCCTGCTGGGTTTGGTGGGAACACCCCATGATCTTCTCCGTGGCTCTGTGGCTGGCAGAGATGGCGGTGATGACCCTGCTGGGTTTGGTGGGAACACCCCATGATCTTCTCCGTGGCTCTGTGGCTGGTGGAGATGGCGGTGATGACCCTGCTGGGTTTGGTGGGAACGCCCCATGATCATCTCCGTGGCTCTGTGGCTGGTGGAGATGGCGGTGATGACCCTGCTGGGTTTGGTGGGAACACCCCATGATTTTCTCCATGGCTCTGTGGCTGGTGGAGATGGCGGTGATGATCCTGGTGGAGATGGCAGTGATGATGCTGCTGGGTTTGGTGGGAACACCCCATGATCTTCTCCGTGGCTCTGTGGCTGGTGGAGATAGCAGTGATGATCCTGCTGGGTTTCGTGGGAACACCCCATGATCTTCTCTGTGGCTCTGTGGCTGGCGGAGATGGCGGTGATGACCCTGCTGGGTTTGGTGGGAACACCCCATGATCTTCTCCGTGGCTCTGTGGCTGGCGGAGATGTGGCGGTGATGACCCTGCTGGGTTTGGTGGGAACACCCCATGATCTTCTCCATGGCTCTGTGGCTGGCGGAGATGGCGGTGATGATGCTGCTGGGTTTGGTGGGAACACCCCATGATCTTCTCCGTGGCTCTGTGGCTGGCGGAGATGTGGCGGTGATGACCCTGCTGGGTTTGGTGGGAACACCCCATGATCTTCTCCGTGGTTCTGTGGCTGGTGGAGATAGCAGTGATGATCCTGCTGGGTTTCGTGGGAACACCCCATGATCTTCTCTGTGGCTCTGTGGCTGGCGGAGATGGCGGTGATGACCCTGCTGGGTTTGGTGGGAACACCCCATGATCTTCTCCGTGGCTCTGTGGCTGGCGGAGATGTGGCAGTGATGACCCTGCTGGGTTTGGTGGGAACACCCCATGATCTTCTCCGTGGCTCTGTGGCTGGCGGAGATGGCGGTGATGATGCTGCTGGGTTTGGTGGGAACACCCTGTGGGTGGCGAACATCCCCCTGGCAGGATTCTGATTCTGAGCTGTCCTGAGCGGCTGCATCTCAGATCCAATTCCAGGGCTTCAGGAAGATTCTGGAGAACTCAGCTGACCCTTCCTGTTGGAGCACCCTGTCCCTGAGGGATCACCCAGGCCTGGGCCCTCCTCCCACAGGAACCAGGGCGGCAGAGTCCAGGGACGCCGGCCTGGGCTCCACTCTTTTTTTTTTGAGATAGGGTCTCACTCCATCCCCTAGACTGCTGTGGTGGGATCTCAGCTCACTGCAACCTCTGCCTCCTTGGCTTAAGCGATCCTCCCACGTCAGTCTCCCGAAGAGCTGGGACTACAGATGTTTGCCACTGGCCCGGATACTTCTTTATGTTTTTAGTAGAGACGGTTTCACTGTGTTGTCCAGGCTGGTCCCAACTCCTGGGCTCAAGCGATCTGCCCTCCTCGGCCTCCCAAAGGGCTGGGGTCACAGGCATTGGCCCCTGCGCCCGGCTTGTGTTTTCTTAAGGTGAGAAGTTTCATGAGGTTTCTCCCGCCCTTGGTTTCCGCCTCCTCCCTCCAGACGTCTGAACAGAACACACCGGCTCCTGAGCACATTCACTGACCGCTCCTGCCCTCTGTGCTCACATTCGGTATTTAAACAATTTTCTGGGATCCTAAATTTATAAACGTGAAGCTCAGTCTCCTGGATCATTGTGACATCACAGCCACTGACACACAACACGTCAGGACGCGTGTCTAGCACTCTTGTTAGACAGAAGAGTACGGTGCTTTCAGAAGTGGGTCTCGGTGAGCTCTCCTGGTCGTGGGGGGCCTGTGCTTAGGGACCCGCTTATCCCTCTCACCAACAGTGATGTGGCCTCATTGCTGAGCTCTGTCATGGTGATGCTGGGCGCCGGCAGCCTGGGGTGTGAGCCTGCACAGCTCCTGCTGACCCCGCAGACCCGGACACGGGAGCGTGACCGGGACGAGAGGCTGTCCTGGAGGCCCTCAGGCAGGCAGGGCGTCCGCAGCTCGAGGTGGGCGCGTGACCGGGATGCGAGCTGTCCCGGAGACCCCCAGACAGGCGGGGCATCAGCAGCTGGAGGTGGGAGCCCGGGATATGAGGCCGTCCTGGAGACCCTCAGGCAGGTGGGGCATTGCCAGCTGGAGGTGGGCCTCTGTCAGGCTGGGAGGGGCCGTCCCCACCTTCTGGGGCAGCTCAGGGTGAAGATTTGCCCGGGACACTGCGGTTAGCCGGTTGACCGCCGTCTGTCCTCATTCTTGTCCTCAGGAACCTGTCCACGGCCTGCGTGTAGAGGCTCTGGTGTAGGGAAATCGCACCTTGATGTCCCTCGTGAAATCATGGAAACCGTGGATTAGAGCATACGGGGCATCCAGGCTCCCTGTTCCGTGTCCTGCGCAGGTGGGCCGTGCTGATCAAGCCCCAGAGTTGGAAAATTCTCAAGGGAGGAGAGAAGGCAGCGCCTCTGCACTGGCTCACGGGCCCCAGGGTTGGCTGTGGGCAGGAGGGGCTCACGTGAAAGAACAGGGGAAGGGAAAAGCCCCATGGAGGCCCCTGGTGCAGGGCCCCGGCCCTGGCTCTGCCTTGGCCCCTGCCCTCCTGCCCTTCTGCCGTCCATGTCTTCGGCCCACTCTGGGACAGCAGCAGGGACAGCAGTGATGGGTTTGTGGCCGGGCACCTGTTCCTTTGTTCCTTGGGCCCAAGGTGGCTTTCAGGGAGCTTTGGCCTAGGAGGGGGTGGGTTTCCACCCAGAGCCAAGGCTGCCACCTCCTTGCTGCGGGGGAAGGGGCCACGTTGCACAGAAGGAGCCCTGTGGTCCTGAGTCTCATGTGGAACAGGATCTGGCCACCCCAGCCAATGAAGTGAGGCCCGGCTGAGCTCAGGTGAGATCAGAGGCCTCTGTAATACGGCGTCCGTCCAACTGCTGGGCGAAGGCGCCTGCTGGGGGAAGGAGCAGATCCCCGGGACTGGGGGACTCTGGCCTCCTGAGCAGCTGTGGACCCCGATGCCTCCCGGGTTGGGGAGCACAGTGCCTTGCCTGACAGCAAGGGGGTCAGGAGCCCCCCGTCCAGCCTGAGGCCCATAGGACCTGGAAGAGGCTGAGACCGGGACCCAGTGCTGGAGCTTGACCTTGACCTTGACCTTGGTCAGACCACAGAGCTGTCATTCCACAAACTGAGAAGCCACAGTGAGCCTTCGGCCCTGGCAGGGGAGCCTAGGGTGGGACGTTGGATGTCACAAAGCTCAGCGCAGGGGTCAGGTTCAGGCACAGAGGGGACAGGGCCCTGGGGTGGGGTGATATGGCAGAGCCCAGTGTGTGTGGGGGTGCTGTGTGTGTGTGTGTGTGTGTATGTGCATGTGTAGTGAGCACAGGTAGGGGTGGTGGCAGTGGTGGGTGCAGCTTGTCCTGAGTCTCTAGGCGGCCCGGAGCTAAGGAGAACCCACCACTGAGAGGCGCGGTGTCCAGCTGCAGATATGGATGTAGCTGTGGACGTGGCTGTGGATGTGGGGGTAGCTGTGGATGTGCCTGCAGACATGGCTGTGGATGTGACTATGGATGTGGCTGGTCATGTGGAGATGTGTCTGGGATGTGGATGTGGCTTGGCATCTGGAGATGTGGCTGTGGATGTGGCTGGGCATGTGCAGACGTGGCTGGGATGTGGATGTGGCTGGGCATGTGCAGACCTGGCTGGGATGTGGCTGTGGACATGGCAGGCAGTGCTAGGGGAGATGCCCCTCCCCTCAACCTTGGGTCAGGTGTGGCTCCGAGGGACACGGAGTTGGGTTCACTGCATTGGGGGAAGTTTCAGGCCACAGCCTTGCAGGAGGTGCCACCACTCTGGGGTGGGCGGACCCCACGCCCCGTGCTGGCCTCAGAACTATGGGGTGCCCACCTTGGAGGTGTGGCTGGTCACAATCTCAGCGGCTACCCAGGTGCTGACGTCATCTGCGTTTCTTAAAAGCTGTAACAGATACTTGTCTTGAACGTAATTGGGCAGAAATAAGCTGCAGGTTTTGGCCGAAAGAGACTCAGAAGAGCTGGCTCTGGAAGAGAAACACGGCACCTGTCACCCCAAAACATGTGCAGCTGTCTCGGCCCCAGAGCTGCTGGTGCAGAGTGGGGTGGGGTCTGGCCGTGCAGCTGCTCTGACTGGCAGACACCACTCTCTTGGGTCTTGAGAGACACAGGCATCTCCTGCTGGTCAGGAGCATCCACGAGTCCCTCAAGGGAAGCCCCCAAGACCCTCCGTCACCACTCACAGCCGAGGGCCTGGGACACTCACTTGGGGATGGCGGTGCTCTTGTCCACGACGCCTAGAGCCCGTGAGTTCAGGAAGTGGACTGGGTGGCACTTTTGGAACAACTCCTGCCAGGATGTGGAGAGAAGAGGTTCAGGTTACCAGCCTTCAGAGCCTCGTGGCCAAGGCCGGGTCCCAGGGAGGGTGGGGGTTTTGTGGGGGCCATCTCTGTAATCCTGGGTTCAGTGCCCACCCAGCAGTCCACAGAGGTCGGCTGGAGAGGTCTCCCCATGTTCTCGGGCCGCAGGGCTCCCAGCGTCCAGGCAGCCCCTGTGACAGCAGGTGGGATCACGAGGTTGGCATCACTGTTGTCACCTGCTGTGTGATCCAGGATGGCAGGGCCTGGGAAGGGGCTGCCTGAGGGCTGGCTGTGGTGGAGGTGGAAGAAGTTGGGCAAAACCCTGGCAGCTGGGTGGGGGCACAAGGAACCAGGTTGGCCCAACTCCCATGGAGGGGCTGGGGGCAGAGACTTTGCACCCCATATGGCCCTCAGGCCGTCCTCTAGTGCCTGTGAGGGCAGAGTACTGTGCAGAGGCAGGCCCAGACCCTGCAGGCAGCGCTGTCTAGAGAGGAGGATCCGGCTTTGCTGGGACCAAGCCCCTGCTGGGGCCTCCTGTTGAGGCAGCAGCCGCCCGGACCTTCCTGTCTGTTCCTCCGGGAAGTGGCCGCTGAGGGCCCTGTGGGCATCGAGCGTCCCTGGGGCGGGTGACCTGGTGTGGATTCTCACCCTCCTCACCTGCTGCAGCAGTGTGAGCTGGCTGAAGAGCTGGTGGGTGCTGTACTCGGTCAGGAAGTAGGGCCCCTTCTCACTGGTCTTGGCGCAGGGGCCGTAGAAGTCCTCAAGGAAGCAGGGCTTGGGCAGCGCCGCAGCGATGGTGTAGGGGCGCTCCTTGTGCGGTGGCAGTACCAGCCCATTGCCCCGTGGCAGCCTCCAGGGGAAGCTCTGCAGGGCAGGCCGGGCACTGAGGGGCCCCTCCGGGTCAAGGGTCCAGGGAGGCAGGGCAGGATGAGGACTAGGCCAGGCCTAGGCCCAGCACTTCTCAGACTGGCCCAGCCAGAGCCAGAGCCTGCCCACCCACTGCCTCGCTGGCACAAGGATGCCCGTCCTGGTCATTTCAGCAGGTCCTCCACGGCAGGACCGCTGAGGTTTAGTGGAAGAGCCATTCACTCATCTCCCCACACTGGTTTCTTCCACCCAGTCTCTGACCAGGGGTCAAGAAGTTGGGGTCAGTGAGTCATAGCAGGACCGTCCTCACCTGAGAGCCTGGGAGAGTGCAGGAGGTGCCAGCCCAGCAGGGCTGGCTGGGACTGGGAACATGGAGGGTGTGCACATGGGGGTGTGTGTGTGCACGTGTGTGGACGTGTGTGCGCACGTGTGTGAGGGTGCACATGTGTGTATGAGGGTGCACATGTGTGTATGTGTGAGGGTGCACACATGTGTGTATGTGTGAGGGTGCACATGTATGTGTGAGGGTCACACATATGAGGGCGCACACGTGTGTCTGTGAGGGTGCAGGTGTATGTGTGCGAGGGTGTACGTGTGAGGTGCACGTGTGCACGTGTGGGTGTGTGCAGCTGTGCACACAGGTGCATGTGCCTATGTGCATGTATATGGATGTGCACCTGTGCACATATGTGTGTACATGTGTTCTTGAGGCTGGGCTCAGGGGGTACATCTGCCTGCCCAGGGAGGCCCTTCCCTGGGAAAGAACCCCACCTTCCGGGAGAGGCCGTCCTCCGAGAGCCTCTTACAGAGGGCGTTGAAGGGTCTGGTGTCCTCGTCCGCCTCCTTGGGGTTCTCCATGTCTGTGCCTCGAGGGCTGCCCTCTGCCCGCCGGTCTGTGCCCACCTCCAGGAGGCCCAGCAGGTGCTCTGCGGAGCCGTCTAGGGGCAGGATCTAGGCAGAAGTATGGCACGTGATGGTCAGTGCCACCTTCCAGAGGAGGGCAGCACCTCCGCGTGGGGGTTCAGGGCGCTGCCGCCCAGCTCAGTGCGTGGTCACCTTGGAGGAGATGAAGTCCTCCAGCTGTCCCAGCAGCCCGCTGCTCCGGGTGAAGTCCACGGTGTAGCAGTCCTCCACCCAGGCCTGCAGCACGCACAGGCTCCGCCTGTAGATCTTGGCGAAGGTCGAGGTGGGGTCCTGGTGGGCCCTGGAGGCATGGGGGAGCTGCCTGAGCTTCCAGGATGTGTGAGTCGGGGACAGAGGCCCAGAGGCTGCACGCAGCTCTCCCGAAGAGGCAGGGCAGGACCAGGCTCCACATGTGCAGGGGGCTTAGGGGGCTGGGAGTCTTCTGTGGGTCCCTATCCCAAGGCAGGAGCTGACTGGCTGATGGCCCAAGGTGCCATGGGGGTGCCCAGCGTGGGCGTATGTGGGCCTGGGCAAGGGGGTGCATGGGGCGTCCTAGGGGTCAGCAGGTCAACCTAGAGAGAGGCAGAGCACCTCTCCCTCTCTTGACCCCAGCTGCTGGCCATGGGTGCAGAGGGAGGCTGGGGCCCGGCAGGACCCTCCACCTGGTGTTCCCAAGCTGACCTGCTGACTCTCCCTGCCCTCCGCTTTCCTCCTAGTCAGCAGGAAGACTCCACTCCCCAGGTCACCTCCCAGCGCTCCCAGGCTCCCAGGCCATTGCCCTCCTGTCCTGGTCTCTTTCTCTGTGTCCATGTGTGTCCCCGACCTCTAGCCAGGCTTCCCTCGCCCCTCACCCCCCAGGGACTGCCTTGGCCTTCATGGCAGCTAAAGCAGCCCCACAGGAGCCCGCCCTGCCCTGGGCAAGCTCTGGCGGGCGTGGAGCTGTGGGCACAGTACCTGGACAGCGTGCTGTTGATGCGGTCCAGGAGGAAGTGCAGGAAGTCGTGGGGCGTGCAGAAGTAGCGGAAGGTGTAGAGGAACTGCTGCACGTAGCCCTCCAGGAAGGCGTCGCTGTGGGGTGGGGCGGGCAGGGCGGCAGTGAGGGGGTGCCGCGGGCCCACCCCAGGCTCCGCTAGTGTTCGGGGGTGTGAGTGTGTGTGTGTGAGTGAGTCGGGCCGCCTTCTCTGTGCATGTCACTGTCAGGAGAATCCCCAGAGAAATTAAAGGGGGGACAAGGATAACATCTGAATTCCCAACCGTTCCCAGCACCAGGCCTTTCTGAAAGTGGCCTGTGCAGGGCCTCGTGGCGCCTCCACTCGCCAGGCCGTCAGCCTGGGAAGCCGAGGGAGCTGGTGCCTCAGGCCAGGCACAACTGTGTCTCAAAGAACGCTGCACCCTCAAAGCTGGGTCTTCACTGGGCGAAACCGGCCACCCTCAGGAGACACTGACCAGGGCCCTGCACGCTGGGGACTGTCCCGGTGTCCTGGGAGCCCGACCACTGTGGTCAGGAAGGTGAGGCCTGGCAAGGTGTCCTCCCATGCTGGAGGAGCCTTTGGCAGGAGACAGGGTGGCCTGGTCACCCGCTCACCTGGGGCCGAGGGCACAGGTGGCCACAGCTCAGGCCCACACACCACACGACATCCCACAACCACACACCACACGACATCCCACGGCCACACACCACACGACATCTCACGGCCACACACCACACGACATCCCACGACCACACACCACATGACATCCCACGGCCACACACCACACGACATCCCATGGCCACACACCACACGACATCCCACGACCACACACCACCCAGGTGCTCGTGTGCCAAGCGATACCCTATTGCCACCAGCTCTACAAAGCGGGGAAGCCCCTTGTGACCACATGCATGGCCAGGAGACCCCACGCTACACACCACACACATGCCACACACACCACACACCACATGTACACACACACCACGCCGTACCCCACACCACACAATACACATGTGCCACACACACACTATACCCCACAGCACACAACACATGTACCACACTATACCCCACACCAGACACACACATGCCACACACCATACCCCACATCACACACTACACACATACACACCACACTATACCCCACCACACATGTACACACACAACACACACACCACACTATACCCACCACACATGTACACACACAGCACACTATACCCCATGCCACACACCACACATACATGCTACATACACCACACATCACACACTATACTCCACACCCACACCACACTATACCCAACACCACACACGTGCACACATGCCATGCGATACCCCACAACCATATACCACACACAATACTCCACATCACGCACCATACATGGGCACACAAGCCACACACACTGCCCCACACATGCACACCACACATGTGCCTACCACACCACACATCCCACAACCACACACTCCATACAAGCCTAAATACATATCGCATTTGTATACTCCACATGCACGATACAGCACATCACACAATACCCCGATACACCACACACGCACACACAAGTATATCAAGAACACACCACGCTGCACATGTGCACAGCCACGCACACAGGTACATCACACAACACCCCGACACACCACACATGCATACACCAGGAACATGCCACGCTGCACACATGCACAGCCATGCACACAGGTACATCACACAACACCCCGACACACCACACGTGTACACCAGGAACACGCCATGCTGCACACGTGCACAGCCACGCACACAGGTGTCTCCCACAACAGCACAGAGACCCTATTGTGGGTGTGGCTGTGCCTGTCTTGCAGATAAGGAGGCTGAGACTTGGGTCTGAGGGTCGGCCTAGAGCCCTGGCTAGTAGGAGGCCCCATGAGACCAGGGCCAGCTCACCTTAGAGTGACGGGGTCGGAGGGAGGAGGCTGCTGTCCCTCTCTAGAGGGTGCTTGGGGTAACGGGGCCCGGGGAAGACACCACCGTTCCTCTCTAGGGCCTCCCTGTCCTCACTGCCTGCTGGCCTCCTTGGTGTCCTTTGCTGGGCCCCAAGGGGCAAGTGCTCCTCTGCTCAGAGAGGACCCTTGGGGCTCCAAAGTGCCAAGGTGGGGTGGGCCAGTCACTGTCCAGGAGGGGGCCTCTCTGGGAATGGGTCAGACCAGTGGGTGCAGAGCTCCCAGTGCCTGAGAACAGGGCGCAGCCAAGGCCCCCGCAGGGCAGAGCAGGTGAAGGGCGAGAGAGCAGGTGGGGTGGCTGGGGCTCTGGCCCTGTGGCCTTGGCAGAGGTGAGGGGACCTGTTGGGTCCTCCCTGCTGTGGGTGCACGCACACCAGTGTTTACAGATCGGGGTCTCAGGAGCCAGTGCACACACCGAGCGGGGCGATGGTGGAACCCCCAGCCTGTGTCCCTGGGCCACGAGGCTCCTTGCCAGCTGTTCTGATGCAGTGAGCTGGGAGGAGTCCAGGCCCCAGCGCTCGGTGGCCTAAATCCTGAGTAAACAGGTTTCCCAGCTAGAAAGTGCACACCCAGCCTGGCGGAGGGGCCAGGGCACACGCACCACCTCCTTTCAGCACCCAGGGCGGCTTCTCCCTTTCCTCGTGATGCACCTGGAGTAGAGGTAGGCCATGAGCCCCAGCGGTGTGCCGGCCTGCAGGATGCGGGCTTTCTGCCGGCTGCCCGGGTGCTTGTTGACATTGTAGAAGATGAGTGAGGAGGACTCGTCCAGGGGGCTGAAATCCAGCGTGTCGCAGGGTGCGGCTGCGATGTTCACGATGACTGGCAGGGCACAGGGCTCCAGGCCCCAGCGCTCCGCGTACATGACCTGCCGGAGGGACACGGGTGCTGGGTCACCCTGCCCCCCACCCCAGGGCTTCCTGGCATTGGGCCCTCAAATCAGGGCCCCTCTTAGGACTCAGCAGGGACAGACTGACAGCGTCCCGCGGTGGGAGGCTGGTCGCGGCACAGGCGGGCCGGAACCACTTGCCTGCAGGTACTTCTTGACCAGGCTGAGGAACTGCACCCTGGATTTCATTTCTTCCAGCTGCCCTTTCAGTTTGGACAGCATGGTCTTGACGTCGGAGCCTGTGGGCAAGGCAGAGTGGGCCGGGGCCAGGCTCCTGCGGCCGGGGCGGGGGGAACCTGTGCCCCCAAGGCCTCACCTTTGTTCCTCTTTTCCTTCTGCAAGAGCTTCTGGTAGAACTTGAGGGTCTTGCGATAGTTTCTTTTCTCGATCATGAGCTGCTGCTCCAGCTCCTGGTGACGAAACACAGCAGCTAAGCCCCAGGCAGCCCCAACACGTTGGCCACATCCAGGGCCAGGCCCCACCCCGCTTGGAGATCAGCTACAGGGCAGCGTCCCATAGAGACCGGTCCACACAGCTCCCGAGGCCGGCCCCTGCCTGGGCAGTGTGGTGTGGGGGCCTCTGCTGTCCCCCGGCTCACAGGGCAGTGCCCAGAACCCCTCACCAGTCAGGCCCTGTGGGGTATGCTCAGGGGACAGTGGGCACTGCTGTGTGGCCACCACCTGGGGCCCTCAGTAGAACCAGACGCCACCCAAGTCAGCCCCAGGCTCTCCTGGCCAAGCAGGTGGGGCTGTGTCACCTCTGGGACCCCAAGCACAGGTTGTGGGGGGGGCAAGGGTTCGGGGGGAGGATGTGAGGTGAGGGGAGAGGGTGCAGGGTGAGGGGTGAGGGGAGAGGGTGTGGGGGGAGGGTGCAGGGGGAGGGGAGAGGGGAGAGGGTGTGGGATGAGGGGTGAGGGGAGAGGGTGTGGGGGAGGGGTGAGGGGAAAGGGTGTGGGGGGAGGGTGCAGGGTGAGGGGTGAGGGGAGAGGGTGTGGGGGGAGGGTGCAGGGTGAGGGGTGAGGGGAGAGGGTGCGGGGGGAGGGGAGAAGGTGCAGGGTGAGGGGAGAGGGTGCAGGGGGAGGGGTGAGGGGAGAGGGTGTGGGGGGAGGGTGTGGGGGGAGGTGTGGGGAGGACGGGGCGTGACCTCCCAAGCCGTACCCCGCGTCTTCAGGCATCTGCCTGTCTTTTTGTTTTCTATTTTTATTGACTTTTTTTTGTTTTTTAGAGATGGCGTCTCGCTCTGTCATGCAGGCTGGAATGCAGAGGTGCAGTCACAACTCACTGCAGCCTTCACCTGCCTCGGCTCAGGCACTTCTCCCATCTTAGCCTCCCAAAGTGCTGGGATTGCAGGTGTGAGCCACTGTGCCAGGCCTTGCCTTTCTTTTAAATTTAGGCTTAAAGAAGCCCAACCATATGGAGTCCAGCTGTGCCGTGTGGACAAGACCCCTGGAAACCATCCTCCTGGGAACTTGCCAGCTGGATCATCGTGGTTTCCTGGGCAGCAGCCGCAGGGTTTGCCCCAGCCCTTGGCTGTCCCGTAGAGTGTGAGTGTGAGCGTGTGTGAGCGTGAGCCTGAGTGTGAGTGCACGCCTGGGTGTGGTCTCCTGAACCTGCCCAGGGTCTGAGTTCCTGCCTGGAAGATGGAGCCGGGGACCTTATCCCCAAGGCTGTCTCTGTGAGGGAAGGGACTGAGGCCAGACTGGCAGGTCCTGACTGCAGGAGCCGGGAGGGAGGGCCTCTGGGCTCTGCTTCATGCACAGACACCGGCTGGGACAGCATGTCCTGGGATGGGATTGTATTCAGGGAGGGGGGCCCCATTGTCCCAGGATGCCTCCCACGCCTAACTGGGCTGCCGCTCATCCGGCACTCCCTCTGTCCTGTGGGACGGGCACCTGTCGTGGATGCTGGAGCAGGGGTGCCCTGAGGATGAGCCTGCCAGGGCAGTGACCCCAGAGATGGCCTTTCCCTCCAGGGGCACAGGGGCAGATACAGCCTCCTCCTGCACCTGTGGGGCTTGGCCCAGCATCGAGGAGGGGAGTGATTCAGGGGGGAGATGCTGGGAAGCCTTGGGGGTCCATGAGAGCTGGGCTGGGGCAGCAGGTCTTCAGCTGGGACCGTGAGGTGCCACAAAGCGGGGGCACCTGGTAGAGGGCAGAGGTGAGGGGTCATCCACGAGGGAGCCCGTCCAGCAGGCTTCCTTCTGTGAAGTGCCGTTGGCTCAGGTCCACCAGCCACCCCCGCCTCGTCAGCCTGCCAGTGACTCTGCTCTGTTGATAGCGCTTATTTTTGAATTTTGTTTTGCAAAATAAAAAAATGCAGGTGATATTTCTATGTAATGATTTGAATCCACTCTATCTGGTGGTTCCATGGAGGCGGGGGCCCCCTGCTGACTTCTCCCACGCACAGGTCCAGGGACGGCAGTGGTGGCCCCACAGGGGGCCAGGCTCCCCGTGAGGGCAGTGTGGGCAGCGGTCCCGGCTGGCTGTGTGAAGACCAGCCCCTCTACAGAAGCTCAGTGGCTAAGCCAGATTCCCCAAGCACTCAGGTCCTGCTCCCACCCAGCCAGGTAGAGCCCGCCTCCCACACTGAGCCGCCGGAGGCTGCTTAATGGGCAGTGAAATTAAAATGTCAGGTCTTCAGTCATGGGGGCCATGTTTCCAGAAGTCAGCAGCCACATGTGGCTGTTGGCTGCCCTGTGGACAGTGTGGATCTAGAATATTCCATCATCAAAGAAGGAGCGACTGGGCTGGGCAGGTCAAGTTCGGTAAATGCAGGTGCCCCCAAGGAGCTGTGTTCTGCTTTTGAGGACGGTGGTGACCACATCCCTCGTGGCTGTACCATAGGGCCCTTGTCTGGCCCCAGAGGTCACCTGTGCTGGCTTCAGACCCCTCACCCCATCCATTTGTAGAGATGCCGGTGTAGGCAAAATCTCCTGGGAAAGGTCTGTGTGCTTCAAGGCGTCGGAAAACTGGGAGGGGGCATCCTCGGCCTGATGCCCGCCTGGCTGGAGCGTGGCTCGGGCAGACTCGTCTCGGCCAGCACCGCCACAGCCTCCTTTCACAGCTGGACTCCACGTCCACGTCAGTGGCGCTGTCTCACTGGGAACCACAGGCAGATTTCTTGAGAAGGACGGTCTGGACAGATTTTAATGAATCTAATGGAGCCAGAATCTACCCACGGGGTGGTGGGGAAGAAAACACGATCCGGGTTTCACTGGTGCAGACAGTCGCGGGAGGAACCATGCCAGCCACGCCAGCCACGCCAGCCACGCCAGCACCCTCACCTGACTCTGGGAGCCATGCTTGCTTTTTTTTCTTTCTTTCTCTCTTTTTCTTTCTTTCTTTCCTTCTTTCTTTCTTGAAGCCATACTTGTTTTTTCTTTTTCTTTCTCTGTCTCTTTTTTTTTCCTTCTTTCATTCTTGGAGCCATGCTATTTTTTTCTCCTTTTCTCTCTTCCCTTCCTCCCTTCCCTTTCTCTTTTTTTCCCATGCTGGTTTTAATAGCAAGAGATGCAGACGCCAGCTCCACAGCCCCAGGGAGCCCGCAGAGCTGAGCCCAGCACACGAGGCGGGCTGCAGCGGCCACCGCAGGTGAGGGTCAGCGCCCACTGGAGAAAATGCCCACCCATTGGTGGCTCTGGCTGCCCCAGAGAATGGCCCTGGCCCGCCTACACTGTGTGTTCTTCGGGCTGCAGATGTGAAAATCTGTCTCCAGGTGTTTCTTTGCCCTTCCTGTGTTTCTGAGCCTCCTGTTTTGAAGCAGACGTACTAGTTTCTCCAAGAGAATTGTGAGGCTGTGGCCACGGGCTGGACTCTGTGCACTGGGAGGCCAAGTGCTCCGCAGACCTGTGCATTTGGGGGCAGAGTCCTCCCTGCTGGACGCCGGGTGTTTGGGGCCAAGTGCTCCTCAGGACGCTGTGCATTTAGGGGCTGGGTCCTCCCTCAGGACGCTGCGTGTTTGGGGCCGGGTTGTTTGGCGTCTGCGGTGCAGGCCGTCCTTTCCCTCCCCAGCCCCAGGGGAGGCCTGTGTCCTCGAAGCGCCCTCAGGCCCTGTGTGGGGTGCAGAGGCTTGAGCACCCTTCATGTGGCCCCGAAGTGGAAATGAAGCAAACACTTCACGGAGCTTAACCCCGGTCCCCTCCTCTACCCCGAGGAGATGCTGGGTCACCTTCTGGACTGAGCAGGAGGGGAACAAGGAGGAGCCCTTCGGGTTCGAAGACCAGAGGCTGGGGAGGCTTCCCACTGTGGCTGGGGCTCGAGGCAGGAGGCGGTGGGACAGTTCCCGGAGCTACCGCTGGGCCCCCCTCCTGTCATCGACCCTGGGTGCCCGGGCCTTGCGTGACTGAGGGCCTGTTCAGGGCTGTGGGTCACTGGCCCCCCCTTTCGTCGAGAGCTCTGCAGGCCTCTCCCGCACCCTGGGATGCACGTTCTAAGGCCTCCTCACCTTGCTGACCAGGGAGGAGTTGCATCTGCTCTTGACCCAGGCGGCCCCACTGGCCACAAAGTGCAGGCCCGGCTGCAGTGACCAGGCCCAGCGTGGGCTCATGGGGCAGGCGTTTCTGGTGTTTTCTTTCATGGCAGATCGAGGCTGCGCAAGGCCCGGAGGGCTGCGCCTGCCCCACAGGAGAGGTGGCTGGACGCAGCCTGATCATGAGCACCGAGGGGCCTCCTGGGAACCCACCGCCCCGGTAACCACCAGAGAAAAGCCATTCCCTATCCCCAAATGTGGGGCACCAGTGCAGACAGCTCAACCTGGAGGGACCCCAACCGTCTCCACAGCCACGGGGTGGGGGCACCAGGACGGGCATCGCCCTGCTGGGGCTCTGAGCACACGGTGCCACCTGTCGCCTGCGGAGGCCAGGAGCTCTGCTGGAAGGAGGCCCCACCCTGCTGATCCTGCAGGGCCGCGGCCTGGGACTCACCGGGCTGTGGGCGTCGGGCAGGGCCCCGTCTGCTTGCTGCCGTCCCATGTCCTTCACGTAGCTGTGGACATCGGCCCCGAAGCAGTCGGCCTCATAGAAGGCACTGCACCAGCCCGGGCTGCAGCTCTGGAGTCCAGCAGGGCTGGGGGACATGGCTGGGCTGCCCCCCTTGGACCTGGCCTGTCTAACCACCGCCTCCACATCCAGGGCTCCGCCTGCCGACCGCCTGTCCTCGTCGGCCTCAGGCTGCTGCGCTCTCTCGGCTTTTATGGACCTCTGAGGCCGAAATCCCACTTCGAAGTTTCCCTGTGAGAGCTCGTCTGAGTCCACACCGGACACCGAGGTGGGCGAGCAGGGGTCCCAGCTGGCCCTGGCCACGGTCGGCTTCTCTTTTCCTTGAAAGAGAGAGACACAGGTTACGTGGAGCACGTGCTGGCCGATTATGGGATGGGGCGGTGCCTGGACGCAGAAGCCCTTCTCTCCCCAGACCACCTCCGGCACCCCCGACCTGGCTGCTGCTCCTGGCGCAGGGGAGATGCTGGACCCTGAACTGCTGCACGGGGTGGGTCAGGCATCTCCTCAGATGGAGCCCCTCTCTGAGCCCTCACTCCTTCCACACTTGTACTGGTCCTGGGGTGGGGCCACTCCCTGTTCCCACTGTTCCCGCCATCAAGACTGTGTCCCTCTGCCCCTAACCCTCTCCTCCTTGCTTCTGGAGGTTAAAATGTGGCCCCAGCTCTGTTCCTGCCAGAAGCTTCTCCCGTGCAGGGCTTCCCCGCCATTCAGGACTGCACTGGCCTCACACCGTGGCCTGGCCACCGGGCCTCTGACTCGTTGGAATGGGAACTGGGCCACCACCAACCTTGGCCATGACCACGGAGAGCCTGAGGGTGACAACAGCCACCAGCTTGTCCCTAAACCCCCAGCCTGCTGGCCATACCCTGGAACTTCCCCAGCCTGGAATTCACATGCCCCGGCAGTCCGGGGCTAACAAGCCAGGAGCCCAGCCCTGGGGCCTTTTGGCAGCAAGCCCACTTCTGCTTGTTACCAAAGCCTGGGGCTCCCAGCCCTGCCTCTGCCTGGCAATGGAATCACCCCCGGGCTCCCAGCAGTTCTCTATCCCAATGGCTGGTGACAGGGGACCCCTCCACCCCCAAGGCCCTGGGCTCCTGCTCGTCCCCAGGAGAGGGTGGCCTTTGGCTGGGGCGCCCCAGGGCAAAGACAGAGCCATCCAAGGCTGCCGGGACCCTGGGGCACCCCCTGACTTGTGGAGAGGACGGAGGAGCCACCCTGTTGTGGGCCGGCCAGCACTTACCCAGGCGGTGCAGCGAGGGCCTCTTGCAGGATAGGGAGCAGGGCCTGGGGCTGCCCTCTGGCTGTGACCCAGCCTCCTTGGCCGCACTGACAACAAGAATGCAGGTCAGGCACCGTCCCCGCCCCTGCCCACTGGAAGGAGGCCTCAGTCTCCATGGGATCAGGCCTGCTGGCCCACATAACCACACAGAGCCCTAGCCAGAGGCGTCAGGAGCCGGTCCCTCCCGGGTCACTGAGGGGCATAGCAGATGGTGGGATTCCCCGGGTCATTAGCTGCTGGGGGGTGCTCTGGAGCAGCCTCTCCATGCTGCGGGGCGGGGAGCTGGGGCTGAGGTGGGCACACTTGTGCATGGCTGCTGGTTTACTCCACACACAGGTGCAGGAGCTGCGCAGGCCACTGGCACCGTGTCGAGCCATGAGCAAGGCAACATGGGGCCCCCATCATGGCTCCGGGCTGGGCCCTGTGGGGTCTGGGGCTGCCTGTTTGGGGTCTTCTCTCCTCCTTCAGGACCTCACTGGTCCCTCTGAGCAGGAAACCCTGTGGCCACCACGGCCCAGGTCCCCACGGCCTCCCAGAGAGCTCCTGCCCTGTGTTCCCCACCAGCCTTTTCTTCCTCTGGAGGGAACTCAGGCCTGACGGAAAGCTGTGGTCAGCGTCGGGACCGCGGAGAGGGGCTGCCGGGACGCCCACCCATCTCCCTCGGGGGTGGCCTCTCTGAGGCAGTGGTTGGGAGGGGAAGGCTGGGCCCGCGTCAGGGTGGCAGAGCCAGAGCACAGTGAATGTCAGGGAAGGGCGGGGAGGCAGGGCACCCACCTTGTGGAGGGTGACGCCGGCCCGTTCACCACCCTGAAGAGGCTCTGCAGCAGCTTCTCATCCCAGTACAGGTCACAGAACTTCTCGGAAATGGCGCCACAGAAAGTGGCAAAGGTGAGGTCTTTCAAGGCGAAGATGTACTCCCCTGGTTTTCAAAAACGACGGAGGCAAGTGAGACGGAGGCAAGGCCGCTTTTCTGGCTCCCTCGTGGCTGACGAAACGGACAAGGCTGGTCTCGGCTGGGGCGCTGGGGGTCGTGGGGCTCTCCCTAGCCCAGGCCTCCTCTGGGGAGTCTGCGGCCCCTACGTACCCATGATCAGAGCCTCCAGCCCGTTGTCCAGGTAGCCATCGAAGGCAAACTCCTCCTGGATGAGGCGTGTGGCCTCCTGCAGCGATGGGCAGGCCGTCCTCCCTGGCAGTGGGGAGGCGTCCACACAGGGCAGACAGGGCCTCTGGTCTGCGGGCCGTGGCCTCTCTGGGACACTGTCCGGGCTCTGCTTGTCATGCTCCCCGGCAGGGGTGGCCCTGAGGCCCTCTGGCTCCTGGCCCGGGCGCTCGGTGGCCTTGCTTCTGGGAGGCTTGGGCGGGTGTCGAGGGCCATGGTGGGCCATGGTGGGCCCCAGGGCGCCGGGCCTGAGGCCCCCGGGAGTGACTCCAGGAAGGACCTGCCCAGCCGGCCCTCGATCTTCAGGCAGCGCAGATGCCTTTGTGGGCGGGGCAGGGACTGGAGGGCTGGGGACCTCTGCCGAGGCCCGGTCTGGCTGGTTTGCTGGGGGCTGGGGTGGAGGGCAGGGGCAGCCCTGGGCTGAGCCACGCTGCACTGACTCCCCAAGAGGCTCTGGGGCTGCTCCCTGTGGCCCTGGACCAGGCACTGGCCCATCAGGTGCCTTCAGACTGGGTGACCCAGCGTGGGCCTCCGGGCAGAGCGTCCCTTCACCTTCCCTCTCCCTCTGGCTGTTCCTCTCCTGGGACTTCTCCTGGGCCAGGGCAGGCTGGTCCCTATGGGAGGAGCTGAGCTCAGCAGGGGCTGCCTGCGCCCGGGTCCCAGCAGCTCCAGGGTGTGGGGATGGAGGCTCACCTGGCCACACTGGAGTCCTGTGTGAGGATGATGGGCTTGAAGTGCGTGGCCTCGGAGGTGAATGCCTCGGGCAGCTGGGCGGCTTCTTCACAGCAGGGATGTTGGCCAGGCACCGGCCCTGGCACAGCCACAAGCCCAGTGTCGCTGTTCACCGGCAGGAAGCCTGGGGACCCAGGGGGCTGAGGGTGCAGGTGGGGCCTGGCGGGGTGGGTGCTGAGGAGTGTCCCCAGCATGTGCCGCATCCCCGGGGCTCACCCCACCGGTGGGTGCTGTCCCCTCCCGCACGTCCCTGGGGGCTTCCTCTGTGCTGGGGCTGGCGTCCAGAGGGAAGGTGGGTTTAACCAGTGCTTAGGGAAGGGCCAGCAGGTGGGGATAGGCCAGAAAGACAGGGCCTGCCAGGAGGCTTGGAGGAGCCAGCTGGGGAGGGCTAAGCATGGGGGACGGGTGGGCTCTGTGTGGACTTGGGGGGGGGTCTCCAGATATGGGCTTGGGAGGGCCAGCTGCTGGAGATGGGAGTGAGAACCTGCACCTGAGGAACCAGGAGTTTTGGGAGAGATGGGGGCGGACAGGGGCAGGCAGGCCAGGCTGCACTGGCTGCGCTCTGGACTTGCTACCTGGGGTTCTGGGAGGTGCCCGGCTGTGTCTGTCCAGGCAGAGGCAAGGGGAGCTGTGGGGTGGGGTGCAGGGGCTGCTGGGAGCCCCACCTGGGCTGGGCTCTGAGGCTGGTGCTGCGCTGGGCTTCAGTTCAACCACCGAGAAGGCATTCTGGAGGCTGATGGTCTCTTCCTCCTGGTACACCTGGGAGCAGACGACAGCTCTGGGCCAGGTGACCATGTCACTCCGCCAGTGTTGGCAACACCCATGGGGTCTCCCCCCCGCCCTGCCGCCAGTGCCCGGGGAGCTTCCTGTTTCGGGGAGCCCACGTGGCGGCCACGTGGCCTGAGGTCGACAGCGGCTCTGCCTGGAGGGGAAGCCTTTGGGGCTCCTTTGCCTCTGGATCCAACCAGGTTTCTGTGGGTTTTGTGAGTGGGAGACGCCGGCACCACCTGAAACTCAGAGCCCACTGCTTTCTGCACCAGGGGTGAGTGCCAGCTGCCATCCTGGGGACCCTGCCTCAAGGATCCTGATCTGGTTCCCTGGAGGCCACTGGGGGGCCCTTGGGAGATGGGACCTGAGTGTCCCCTGCACCCCGAGATGCACCCACCCGCAGCTTGGTGGTCAACAGAGACCCGTATGGGGCTGCGGGGAGCGGCAAGGCGAGGGCGAGCATGTCGGGGTGGGAGGAAGCTAAGGCGGTGGGGAGGAGGCGCCCGGTGGTTCTAGCCCCGCCCACCTGGCAGGTGGAAGCTCTGAGGTGGGCGAGGATGCTCCGGCTGTCCATGCCTCGCTGCAGGAGGTAGCTGCCGCACACCTGGAGGGGAGACCTCGGCTTTGGCCACACCCGCCCCACGACACTGGGTCCTCATCTGAAAAAGCTCAGGCCTGCCATGAGGGTTTCCTGTTTGCTCCCACTGACACCTGACATAGGCCTTGGACAAGCCTTTCTGAGAGCGTGTCCTGAAAAGGGTCAGTCGGCCACTGTCCCCAGGCTCCCTGGGAGGGAGGAGTCCCACACCCAGTGTTGGCCACAGACCTGGTGGCCTTGTTGCCAGGACACCCCCAGGTGAACCTCACGTTCACCTGAGCCCATGCTCCCCAGCCCCTCCTGTCCTCCCTTTATGAGCCCAGGTCCTGTGCACATGGGACGGGGCTCAGCTTCGACTCTCAGCAGTTACTGAGTAAAATCCGCTTTCACTGCTTTGCAGACGTTCAGCTGCATCTAGAGCTCATCCTCCCATGGCAGAGGGGGCCTGAGAGCCCCAGAGAGTCTGAGAAACCCACCCAAGGTCACCGAGCAGTCAAGGCAGAGACGGGTGGGCCCAGGTCCCGACACCCACAGCCATCTCCGCTGCCGCAATCATGGCCCCTCCCCAGGAGGTCCTCCTGATCACTGACACACGGCTCCTCCCCAGGAGGTCCTCCTGATCACACACACGGCTCCTCCCCAGGAGGTCCTCCTGATCACACACATGGCTCCTCCCCAGGAGGTCCTCCTGATCACACACAGGGCTCCTCCCCAGGAGGTCCTGCTGATCACTGACACACACGGCTCCTCCCCAGGAGGTCCTCCTGATCACACACAGGGCTCCTCCCCAGGAGGTCCTCCTGATCACTGATACATCAGGGTTTGGCTCCTGCCCTGACGCTGATCCACCTGCTGGGTACGGGTGCAGGTCCCAGCAGGATGGATGTTAGATCCCAGCCCCGAAGCCTGAGTCCAGCAGGGGAGACCAGGAAGGGAGGGGCGAGGCCAGTGGAATCCTCAGAGGAGGTGGGGGTCAGGGTGGGGAGTTAGGTGTGGAGGCCAATCTCTGCCCTACTCCAGCAGGGCCTAAGGGCCCACATGTAGCCACAGGACACCCCCTGCACCCTCCCTGGCCTCTTGGACAAGCTGGAGAGAGCAGGCATCTCAGGCGGAATGCCTGTGGAGGGGAGCAGCAGAGACCCTGTGCTGTCTGCCCACATGGGCATGGCCACTATGCGAATCCCCACTCTGACCATCGCTTCATGGGCAGAGGCAATGGCCGGGCTGACTTCAGAAAAGAGGAGAGAACCTGCATGCTCACCCCCAGCTCTGCGAGGGTGATCACTGCCCACAGTCCTCGAACCCTGGGCTGGGCCACGACCGCGGTGTAGTTACCTTGATGGCCTCGGCTGTAGACGGCCGCTCTGGGGCACTGCGCTTGGCCATGTCCAGGAGGAGGGCCTTGAGCCTGCGTGGCAGGGCTAGCTTCTGGTTTTGGGGGACGCTGAACTTGGCTGCGGTCCACAGGACGGCGGCCACGCAGTACACAGAGGCCTGGGTGGGTGGGGAGAGAACCGTGGCAGTGACCGCAGGGCCGTGGGTAGCCGTGTCCAGCCGACCTGCCCACCTCGGCACCCTGAGGGGCACCCAGGCACTGCCCCCGCAGAGGCCCTCTCCCCAGGGACCCTCCCCAGCGTCTGCCGGGCCTCACCCTGGACCTGTGCATAGGCGTCCAGATCATGGCCCAGGAACCTGCAGGTCCAACATCACCCCATGGTTCTGTCTGAGTTTTAAACACCCGAGGGGTGGAAGCTTCAACTGGGCGTTCCCGCCATCCGCTCTCCTCACGAAGGCAGCAGCAGCTCGAGGGTCTGAGAACTGGCTGGCACATTCCCGCCTCACAGGCCCTGCTCCCGGGGGGCCCTGGCGGGTGCTGTGCTGCTATGTGGCTCTCTGAGCAAATGTGCACACGCCTCGCCTCTGTGTACACACGTGTGTTGCTGACATGAGCGACAACACACTTTGTGTCCGTTTGTGGAAGCAGTCGACTCACTGGAAGCTTTTGCTGACTTTTACCCACCTTCATCCACAGCCCCCGGCAGTATACACGTGATTCCGAGGCGAGCGTTGGTGATGTTTGCCCTCATTTCAAGAGAGGTGATGGAAGACCCACGGGGGAATTCGGGGCGTCCTCTGAGCAGCGTCTTCGCAGAATCAGGTGGTTGTGGGTGATGTCAGAAGACGCTGTTCTCCGTATTTTCAGCCATTCACGGTGTAGCAGCTACCGGCGTGGTTAAGTTTAATCACTATGCTCCCCATCACTTCGGTAAGTGTAGACGGTCGGCAAAGCAAAGCATTCGTAGCGCCCGCTGCTTTCCCTGGTGGAAATGCTCCCGTGGGGCTGACTTCCGGCCACCACTGCAGTGCCCTTGAGTGTGGAGCTGGGGAGAGGCAGCCCCTTCGCGGAGTTTCCGCCATCCTGAGCAACAGATGCCCCAGGATCACAGATAACAGCCGACGACAGTCAATAAGCAAGAAATCACCCATTTTAAGCGATTCTTATACTTAAAACAATTTGATGTTTTTATTTTGAGGCACTTGTAGATTGACAGAGTTTTAAGAGGGAGCTCATGTGCTTTGTGCCGGACCCCGAAACAGCAGCACGTTGAGAAACTGTGGTGTAACATCTCGGCCGGCGGCTGCCATCGGTCGGCAACAAGAACCCTGTGGTGTAACATCTCGGCCGGCGGCTGCCATCGGCAACAAGAACCCTGTGGTGTAACATCTCGGCCGGCGGCTGCCGTCGGTCGGCAACAAGAACCCTGTGGTGTAACATCTCGGCCGGCGGCTGCCGTCGGTCGGCAACAAGAACCCTGTGGTGTAACATCTCGGCCGGCGGCTGGCGGCTGCCGTCGGTCGGGCAACAAGAGCCCTGTGGTGTAACATCTCGGCCGGCGGCGTGCCGCTCCGGGTCGGCCACAAGAGCACTGTGGTGTAACAATCTCGGCCGGACGGCTGCCATCGGCAACACGCGCCCTGTGGTGTAACATCTCGGCCGGCGGCTGCCGTCGGCAACAAGAACCCTGTGGTGTAACATCTCGCGCCGGCGCGCTGACGTCGGTCGGCAACAAGAACCCTGTGGTGTAACATCTCGGCCGGCGGCTGCAGTTCGCGCTCCCACCGGGCCACACGAACCCTGTGGTGTAACATCTCGGCCGGCGGCTGCCGTTCGGCTCGAACAAGAGACCCTGTGGTGTCTAAACCTCTCGGCCGGCGGCTGCCGTCGGTCGGCAACAAGAACCCTGTGGTGTAACATCTCGGCCGGCGGCTGCCGTCGGTCGGCAACAAGAGCCCTGTGGTGTAACATCTCGGCCGGCGGCTGCCGTCGGTCGGCAACAAGAGCCCTGTGGTGTAACATCTCGGCCGGCGGCTGCCGTCGGCAACAAGAGCCCTGTGGTGTAACATCTCGGCCGGCGGCTGCCGTCGGCAACAAGAACCCTGTGGTGTAACATCTCGGCCGGCGGCTGCCGTCGGTCGGCAACAAGAACCCTGTGGTGTAACATCTCGGCCGGCGGCTGCCGTCGGCAACAAGAACCCTGTGGTGTAACATCTCGGCCGGCGGCTGCCGTCGGCAACAAGAACCCTGTGGTGTAACATCTCGGCCGGCGGCTGCCGTCGGTCGGCAACAAGAACCCTGTGGTGTAACATCTCGGCCGGCGGCTGCCGTCGGCAACAAGAACCCTGTGGTGTAACATCTCGGCCGCCGGCTGCCGTCGGTCGGCAACAAGAACCCTGTGGTGTAACATCTCGGCCGGCGGCTGCCGTCGGTCGGCAACAAGAACCCTGTGGTGTAACATCTCGGCCGGCGGCTGCCGTCGGTCGGCAACAAGAACCCTGTGGTGTAACATCTCGGCCGGCGGCTGCCGTCGGTCGGCAACAAGAGCCCTGTGGTGTAACATCTCGGCCGGCGGCTGCCGTCGGTCGGCAACAAGAGCCCTGTGGTGTAACATCTCGGCCGGCGGCTGCCGTCGGCAACAAGAGCCCTGTGGTGTAACATCTCGGCCGGCGGCTGCCGTCGGCAACAAGAACCCTGTGGTGTAACATCTCGGCCGGCGGCTGCCGTCGGCAACAAGAACCCTGTGGTGTAACATCTCGGCCGGCGGCTGCCGTCGGTCGGCAACAAGAACCCTGTGGTGTAACATCTCGGCCGGCGGCTGCCGTCGGCAACAAGAACCCTGTGGTGTAACATCTCGGCCGGCGGCTGCCGTCGGTCGGCAACAAGAACCCTGTGGTGTAACATCTCGGCCGGCGGCTGCCGTCGGTCGGCAACAAGAGCCCTGTGGTGTAACATCTCGGCCGGCGGCTGCCGTCGGCAACAAGAGCCCTGTGGTGTAATATCTCGGCCGGCGGCTGCCGTCGGCAACAAGAACCCTGACACACCATATGCCGCATTTTCATTTCCACTCAGTTCTGTCCATTTCTAAAATTTCCTGGAAGCTTCCTCTTTGACACAGAGTATTTGGAAATGTTTGGAAGGTTCCCTTCATTTCCGTTGCTGTGGTCAGAGAACGCACCTGTATGACTTGAGTCTCCAGCCCGCTGAGGTTTGCCCCAGGCCCAGGCTTTCCTCTCGCCTGCTGTGCGTTAGGTGGGCAGTTGCGAAGAACGTGCGTTCTGTGCTCTTCAGACACGGATCGAACCCTGTTGATTGATGCTGCTGCTGAGTTCCACAGCCTGACTGTTCCGTCCAGTGCCCAGACAGGGAAACTGAGGTCTCCGACCGTAACTGCGTTCACCTGTCTTCGTACTCATTCCGCCGGTTTCACTTCACATGCTCTGCAGCTCTGACTTGGTGCGTTGACTCTTTATTGTCACACAATGTCCCTCTTGGTCTCTGGTAATTTTCTGTGCTCTGAAGTACCCTGTATCTGATATAAACGCAGTCATTTCTGCTTTCTTCTCAGTGTTTTCCTAATGTATCTTTTTCAACGCTTAACTTTCAATGATTTTATTTGAAGTGAGTTTCTGGTGGACAGTACACGGTTTGGTCAAGTCTCTACAAATTTCTCTGTCAATCTTCTTCCTTCCTCCTCCTCCTCCCCCTCCTCCTCCTCCCCCTCCTCCTCCTCCTCCTTCTTCCTTCTTCTGGTTTTGCTTTTCTTCTTTGCTTACTTCTTCCTCCTTTACTTTTTTTTTTTTTTTTTTGAGATGGAGTTTCGCTCGTTACCCAGGCTGGAGTGCAATGGCGTGATCTCGGCTCACCGCAACCTCCGCCTCCTGGGTTCAGGCAATTCTCCTGCCTCAGCCTCCTGAGTAGCTGGGACTACAGGCACGCACCACCGTGCCAAGCTATTTTTTTTTTTGTATTTTTAGTAGAGACGGGGTTTCACCATGTCGACCAGGATGGTCTCGATCTCTTGACCCCATGATCCACCTGCCTCGGCCTCCCAAAGTGCTGGGATTACAGGCGTGAGCCACCGCGCCCAGCCCACCCTTTACTTTTTTAAGAGATAGGGTCTCGCTCTGTTGCCCAGCCTGGAATACCATGGCTCGATCTGAGCTCACAGCAACCTCCACCTCGCAGGTCCAAGTGATTCTCCCGCCTCAGCCTCCTGAGTAGCTGGCATTACAGGTGCCCACCATCACACCCAGCTAATTTTTGTATTTTTAGTAGAGATGGGGCGTTGCCATGTGGGCCAGGCTGGTCTTGAATGCCTGACCTCAGGTCATCTGTCCACCTTGGCTTCCAAAGTGTTGGGATTATAGGATGTAAACCACCGTGCTCAGCCTGTTTCCTTAATTTCTAAAGGATATTTTTGCTGGAAATAGGTTTCTGGGTTGACAGAAACACTTAAAAAAAGTGCAGGTCCTCTACAGTTACTGATGAGAAACCTGATCGCCACAGCCGCCTTCCCCGTGTCTGCATATGTGTTGGCTGCTGTTTCTCTGTCTTCTTCTTCTTTGGGGGGGGAGGGGGAGTATTCAGAGGTTTGACTGTGAGTATTGATCCTGCTTGGGGCTTTCTCACCTTCTGAAATCTGTAGGCTTGTGTGTCTTCCGTGATTGGGAAGTTTTCTGCTGTTATTTCTTTGAGTACTTTGATGCCCCACCCCCCTTCTCTTCTTTTTCCCGGATCTTGATGACACGGACATTAGATCTTTTGTTACCGTCTCACAAGCTTCTCAGGCTCTGTTCAGTGTTTTTGGTCTGTTTTCTCTTTGTTGCCCAAACTGTGCAATTTCTATTTTCTGTCTCCATTTCACCAATTCTTTCCCCTGCCCTCTCTATTCTGCTATTAAGTCCATTCATTGAGTTTTTTTTTTTTTTTTTTAAAGATGGGGTTTCACCATAATGGCCAGGCTGATCTTGAACTCCTGACCTCAGGTGATCCACCCACCTTGGCCTCCCAAAGTGCTAGGATTACAGGTGTGAGCCACCGTGCCCGGCCTCATTGAGTTTTTTTAAAAATCAGCGCTAAAATTTCCATTAGCTTTAAAAAAAAATTTATTTCTTTGCTGAGACTGTTTTTTGTTTCAAGCATGTTTGCAATTTTCCACTGAAGCATTTTTATGATGGTTGCTTTAAAAAGTTTAAAGTCGGTTGAGCGTGGTGGCTCACACCTGTAATCCCCGCACTCTGGGAGGCCAAGGTGGGTGGATCCCCTGAGGTCAGGAGTTCGAGACCAGCCTGACCAACATGGAGAAACCCCACCTCTACTAAAAATATAAAATTAGCCGGGAGTGGTGGCGCATGCCTGTGATCCCAGCTACTTGGGAGGCTGACGCAGGAGAATCGCTTGAACCCTGGAGGCGGAAGTTGCAGTGAGCTGAGATGGCGCCACTGCACTCCAGCCTGGGCGGCAGAACGAGACTCATATGGAGGTTCGTATCTACTGGTTGCCTTTTTTCATTCAGTTTCACATCTTCCTGGTTCTTGGTATGATGAGCGATTTTCAACAGAAAAGATGTGACTCTAGATCTTGTATAAACCTCCTCTTTTTAAAAAAGGATTTGTTTTATTTCAACTTTAATTTTAGATTCAGGAAGTGCCTGTGCAGGTTTGTTACAAGGGTATACTGTGTGACGCTGGGGTCTAGAGTCCAGTTGACCCTGTCCCCCGGGTAGTGAGCACAGCACCCAGCAGGTAGGTTTTCGACACTTGCCCACCTCCCCCGCCACACCCCCTGTGCGCCTCAGCGTCCCTTTCCCCATGAGCATGCCCGTGTGTAGCCAATGCCTAGATTCCACTTAGGAGTGAGAACTCCCAGTAATGTGTCTGCATTACTTCTCTTAGGACAATGGCCTCCAGCTGCATCCATGTTGCTGCAGAGGACCCGATCTCATTCTTTTCATGGCTGCATAGTATTCCACAATACGTCCCACATTTCCTTTATCCAACCCTCCACGGATGGGCACCTGCATTGACTCCATCTGTGCTCCTGTGAACGGTGTGGTGGTGAACGTGGGAGTGCAGGTGTCTTTGGCAGAACGACGTATTCTCCTCTGTGTAAATACCCAGGAACGGGATTTCTAGGTTGAATGGTGGCTCTTACATTCAGTTCTCTGAGAAATCTCCAAACTCCTTTCCCCAGTGGCTGAACTAATTTGCATTCCCACTAACAGAGTCTGAGCGTTCCCTTTTCTCCACGGCCTTGCCTGCGTCTGTTGTTTCTTGGCTTTTTAGTAACTGCCATTTGGGCTGGTGTGGGTGGCCGCATGGTGGTTCATTGGCCTCTCTCTGGTGATCAGCGACCTGGGGCGTTTTTCATGTTCTCGGGCTGCTCCTTTCTTTTGAGAGGTGTCTGTTCACTCCTTTGCCTGCGTTTGAATGGGGTTGTTTGGTTTTTGCTTGTTTGTTCCTTCTAGATTCTGGATATGAGACATTGGTCAGATACGTAGTTTGCAAATATTTTCTCTAGTTCTGTAGCTTTTCTGTTTACTTTGTTGCTAGTTTCTTTTGCTGTGTAAATCCCTTTAGTTTAATTAGGTCCCGCCTGTTAATTTTTGCTTTTGTTGCAATCGCTTTTGAGGGCTTAGTCATGAATTCCTTGCCAAGGCCGATGTCCAGAATGCTGTTTCCTAGGTTTCCTACTAGAATTCTTATGGTTTGAGGCCTTACATTTAAGCCTTTAATCCATCTTGAGTTGATTTTTATATATGGAGGAAGATAGGGGTCCAGCTTCATTCTTCTGCATGTGGCTTGCCAGCTCTCCCAGCACCATTTGTTGAATGGGGAGTCCTTTCCCTATTGCTTGATTTTGTCAGCTCTGTTGAAGATCAGATGATTGTATGCGTGCAGCCTTATTTCTGGGCTCTTTATTCTGCTCTACTGGCCTATGTGTCTGTTTTTGTGTACCAGTGCCATGCTGTTTGGGTGACTGTGGCTTTGTAGGATAGTTTGAAGTTGGGTAACATCATGTCTCTGGCTTTGTTCTTTTCGCTTAAAATTGCTTTGGCTATTTCAGCTTTTTGGTTCCATGTGAATTTTAGAATAGTTTCTTCTAATTCTGTGAAAAATGACATTGGTAGTTTGACAGATATAGCAGTGATTCTGCAGATTGCTCTGGGCAGTGTGGCCATTTTACCAACACTGATCCTCCCCATCTGTGAGTGTGGGATGCATCTCCACTTGCTTGTACCATCTCTGATTCCCTTCAACAGTGTTTTCCAAATGTCCTTGCACGGCAGGCTGCAGGGAAGGAAGGTCACCTTCTCCGAGGCCACCTGGGGCCAGGCAGGCACTGGGCACTTCTCTGTAGTCTCACGAGGGTGAGTCCAGGCTCCAGGTTCTGGCCCTTGCTGGGCGGGCCACAGTGCTCCCGTGGGGTTTGGCTGGCTCAGGGCTGGGGGTGCTAACACATCCTGCTCCTGCCTGGTCCTTTGGCTACAGACCCAGGCTTTTGTTGGGGCATTTTATTTATTTATTTATTTTGAGACAGGGTCTCACTCTGTTGCCCAGGCTGGAGTGCACTGGTGCCATCTTGGTTCACTGCAACCTCTGCTTCCTGGGTTCAAGTGATTTTCCTGCCTCAGCCTCCCAAGTAGCTGGGATTACAGGTGCGCACCACCACACCAGGCTATTTTTGTATTTTTGGTAGAGAAAGAGTTTCACCATGTTGGACAGGCTGGTCTTGAACTCCTAACCTCAGGTGATCCACCCACCTGGGCCTCCCAAAGTACTGGGATTATAGGCTTAAGCCACTGCACCTGACCTGTTGGGGTGTTTATTTATTTATTTGAAACAGAGTCTTGCTCTGTCAACCAGGTTGGAGTGTAGTGGCATGATCTTGGCTCACTGCAGCCTCCCGGTTGAAACAAATCTCCCACCTCAGCCTCTCAGGTAGCTGGGATTACAGGTGCGTGCCACTGCGCCGGCTGATTTCTGTATTTTTAGTAGAGATGGGGTTTTGCCATGTTGCCTAGGCTGCTTTCCAGCCACCTCGGCCTCCCAAATTGCTGGGATTACAGGCGTGAGCCACCACGCCTGGCCTGTTGGGGCTTAAATTTGTTTTAAATACTCAAAAAAAGCTTCATTTCTTCTTTAGCTTTCTGACTCTGTGCTTGTGTCCCAGCACTTTGACGGCAATTTAGTGATTTTCCGTTCCCTGAAGAGGAAAGCACGCTGGGTCCTGCAGGTGCACAGAGCACAGGGAGCCACTGCAGCGCAGAGGATGCCATTTCTGTTTGGGACGATATCATAAGAGCTTCAGGTCTGACAGCATGAACCCCCTGAGGGCCTGGGCCACCTGCATGTTACAGCACTTTCCCAGCCTCCTTGGTGCAAAGGTGAGCAATCTGTGCTGGGGTTCAGGAAAGCCTCTTTTCGTGCAAGGTTAGATGGCAGGAAAGCCTCTGATGGTCTGGCGAATGGTGGACCCCTCCGAGTTCCTCTAGACAACGGCCCCGGAGATGAAAAAGCACGGCTGTGCCCACTGGATTTTTCCAGTTGCTGGCTTCTTTACCTCCAAGTGTCAATATATGAGACAGAAAGAAAACCCAGGGCACTCATGGCTGTGTCGTCCCTTTGTCCAGAGGCCCCTCACCAGCTGCCTTCTCCTCCCTCTGCAGGTGGCCTGCTGCTTGTTTTCTGCACAGTGTGCAGGGTGCTTAGTGCAAGGTGTTTGTTTAATGCCGGGTGCTTAGTGCAGGGTGTTTAGTGCAGGCTACTTAGTGCAGGGTGTTTAGTACAAGGTGCTTAGAGCAAGGTGTATAATGCAGGGTGCTTAGTGCAGGGTGCTCAGTGCAAGGTGTTCAGTGCTGGGTGCTTAGTGCAGGGTGTTTAGTGTGGGGTGTTTAGTGCAGGGTGTTTGTTGAGTGCACGGTGCTTAGTGCAGAGTGCTTAGTATAGGGTGTTTGTTTAGTGCATGGTATTTAGTGCAAGGTGCTTAGTGCAGGGTGTTTGGTGCAGGGTGCTTAGTGCAGGGTGTTTGTTTAATATATGGTGCTTAGTGCAGGGTGCTCAGTGCGGCGTGTTTAGCACAGGGTACTTGGTGGGAGGAGTGAGGAAGTTCACATTTCTATCTTCCCTGAGTAGACGTTCTACCTTAATTTTGGATGCAATTTATTTAATTGTGTTTAAATTTGTATAATTTAACTTTTAATGCTCATGTTTCACAAGTGCCTTATACCCACCCCTGGGTGTTCAGCCCTTGGTTCTCATGAGCCAAGAGGGGCAGCTCCAGTGCCACGGCCAGTGCTCTCTGCACGGAGCCGTGTCCTAGCTCCCTGGCCACAGCCACGGCCCTGCTGGCAGATACTGCCCATGACCGCCTGTCCAGGAAGGCCTGCCCTGACCCCAAGTCCTGACAGGGGGCTACTGTACAGGTGGGTGACGTGGCAACCCCAAGGGCTGGGGGCAGGTCTGAGGACGGGTGGGGAGGGCCCAGGTACCTTTTCCGTGACCAGCCTCTCCTCTGCCAGCTCAGGAGCCAGGAAGAACGAGTCATAGGTGCCTAAGAGAGGAAGTCCGGCTGAGTTTTCCTCACCCCTGGCGAGCCGGTGCTAGACCAGGCCTGAGGGGACCCCACATGCTCACCGTTGGCAGGGGGCGGCTGGAACATCACAGCCCCGTCCTCAGCGACCAGCACGGAGTCCAGACACAGGTAGGCTGTGGCAGAGCTCGGGTCAGGATGGGCATGCCTTGCCCTGCAGTTGAGGTGGGCTGGGGGGAAGGAGCTGGGGAGCCTTGGTCAGGCTGGTTGGCCCCCCAGCCTCCCCATCGTACGGGCACACACCTGCCAGTGCAGGCACAGTGCCCACCCCCCACGCCCTCCCGGGATCCTCGGAGCTGCCTCCTCCCAGCCCTCCCTGTGGGCAGCGCTGCCCGGCTGACACCACGGCTACACTGGCACGACTGTGGCTGAACGGGAGCTGAGTGGCAAGGAGAGCGCGGGTTATGGCTCCTCCACTGAAACCCCGCACAGGTCCCATCCCGAGTCAGGGCCCACGGGGCAGCCACGGCCGTGTCTCCACGGCCCCTCCCTCAGCCTTTTAGACACGGCCCTCAGCACCCCAGGATGTTTTTAGGTCTCAGATGCACTGTCTGTCTGCCCTGATGTTTGGCAGGGCCAGGCTTTGGCAAGGCATGGGCCAGTGCAATGCTGACGGTTCCTGCCCTGCTCCAAGGCCAGGGGCTCCTCCCTGGGACAACGTCCCCGTGCTGAGGGTGTGTGGGCAGGGCCACAGTGAGGTCCCCTTCCTCTTCACAGCAGGCCCACCTTGCGGGCATCTGTCCCCATGCCTCCCTCCTTGCTGCAACTCAGCAGGCACCCCCAAGGTGCTCCAGATGGGAGCTGCCTGCTCGTTCACTGGACACTCTGTCCTTGGCTGCCCTGGGTACCGTGGCTCAGGTGGGGGCCAGTTATGCACGGGGCGGGGGGACGCATCACCTGGGTGCTGGGGGTGCGACTGCAGGGCGCGGAGGCAGGCCAGGCAGAGGGCCCACAGCTCGTACTCCCGGAGAGGCCGGCCCAGCTGCGACAGGAGGTCCTGCAGGGACACGCACTGCAGGCAGGAGAATGGCGAGGTCAGCATGGACACCCTGCACTGGGGCCTGCTGGGGGACAGGCCAGGGTGAGTCCCACTCAGCCCCCGAGCAGGTGCCCCCACAGCTGACAGAGGGGTCAGAGAGGTCCCTAGGTCAAGTCCAGCATGTGGGGGCTGTGGGGAGACTGGGGCCCTTGGCCCTGCAGGTGGGAACGTCCCACGTTGCAGCCACTGGCGATGGCAGGGCTGCGGTTCCTCAGAAAGCTCAACATGCACCTCCCAGGAGACAGCACTTCCTGGCCGGGCACACGTCCCGAGGAACCGAGGGCAGGACTCGTGCCTATGAGCACGCTCAAGTTCATGGCAGCATGACTCCCCAGGCATCCACAGACGGATGCAGGGCAGCATGGATGGTGCTGGTGCTCAGCCTCGGGAGGGGGTGCTCTCACACAGGCAGCCCCAGGGATGAGCCGTGAGGACAGCGGGCTGAGCGAAGTAGGCCAGAAACAAAGTGCCGCCCACCCCACTCCCACGAGGCCCCTGGACGGAGTTCATGGAGGTGGAGGGCAGAATGGGGAGAAGGGCTGGGCTGGGGCGTGTGCTTTTGCTGGGTGCATTTTCTCATGCACGCACACCCCGATGGCAGGCATGCATTCAGCGCTGTACACCCCAAGGCCTACGGACAGCTGGGACCAAAGTCCGCCCTCCACCAGGCCCAGCCACCCTGTGTCTCCATGTGCCATCTGGAAGGGAGGCTGCTGTGCGTGGGAAGGCGTGCCACCAGGTAGAGGGGTGGAGGGTGGTGGAGGGTGATGGGCACATGCGCTCAGGATGTGCAGAAAAGCCCAAGTCACAGAATGACCTCGTTCTTGTCCTTCAGGCCAACAAGGCCTGGTGGGACAGGTGGCTTGAAGGCACCCGGTCCCTGGGCCAGTGCTGCCTGGCAGACAGACTTGCACTCGGGCCCCTGGGTCAGGCACTGCCCAGCAGATGGACTTGCACCCCAGTCCCTAGGCCAGTATTACCCGGCAGGTGGACTTGCATGCGGCCACTGGCTTCAGGTGTCCCTGCCGTGAAGAGCTCACAGGGATACAGCTGGTGGTGGCTCAAGGGGGGCAACACACTTGGCTGGGCTTGGCCCAAGCATCTTCAGTGGGACAGTGGGGCTGATGGGCCAGGCCACCCCGAACACCGGCTCCAGCAGCGTCCTCCATCCCTACGAGGGGCAGCCGACGGGGGCAGCGCTGGGCTGGGGAGGCCCCGTCCTGCACGGAAGCCACGTCCGAGCGGCTATACGGTATCTCAGCATCCCCTCGGAGGCGGCAGAGGTGGCCCAGGTACCGACACCTCCTGGTGCCCTTCACCACCAAGCACAGGGCATGCGCCAGCCTGACCCCCAGCGCTGGCATCTAACTTAAAACCATCAGGAGAAGATGAGGGAGGCTGTGAGCCTCAGGACGGGGGGACAGAGCCCCCGTTGAAGCCGGGCCTGCTGGCCTTGCTTCCCGGAAGAAGATTAACCCTGGGGATGGCCATGCAGGGCTGTGCAAGGTGGCCTGGGCGGGCTGAGGAGGCGGCTGCCATCTGGGTCGTCCACCTGAGAGGCCATGCTGGGTAACAGCATAGAAAGCTCCACAGCCACAGCTTCCTTCAGAAACGGGGCAGCTCAGCAAAAATGTCTTCATTACTGAGCGAGAGTGAAGGTCGATTCCCCTTGTTAAGCAAAGCTGTGGAGAAGCACAGCCCCCGACTCACTGGCCGCTGACCTGTCCACCCACACACAAGGCCTGGGCACCCACCTGCTCCAAGGCTGCACTTCCCGGCTGCCTGGCCCCTTCTGGAATTCTCTCGTCATCCCCGGGAGTCTGGGCTTCACTGCTCGCATCTCGAGGGTCTGCAGGGCAGGGCGGAGCTCTGGCCTCCGCCGGCCCCAGGCTGGGGTGTGAAGTCTCAGGCTGGCCTGGGCTGCCGGGCACCCCGGGGACCCTGTCCCCTCTGCGGCCTGCACAGGGCACCCTGCCCAGCTGGAGTTCCGGCTCCTGCTCTGGCCACAGCCTGTGTGTGGGCTGAGCCTGGAAGCCAGTCAGACCATTTTTCCTGTCGAGAAAGGCCTTCCTGGGGTCCGGAGGGAAGAATTCGGATAGGGGCAGCTGGCTTTTCCCGCGGGTCAGTGGCAGGCAGAGGGCGGTCTCGGGGCTGTCGGGCAGCAGCCTGGGGAATGTCTGCACCTTCCTCAGGCGGCTTCTCCTGAGGGCATCTCTGTCCAGCTCCCTGACAGGGCACTCAGCATCCAGGACGAGGCCAGCCAGCTCCTCCTGGCCATGGCTCTCGCCATTCCTCATGGGGGAGGACAGCAGAGCCTTGGTTGGGGAAACTCTGGGGCCCTGACTAGCCTTGGACTCTGGTCCTTCAGGGGTGGGGGGCGGGCACCGGCCCCCAGGGGCAGGCAGAACCACAGCGTCAGTGCCGGGGTCCCCAGGCAGCCTCCTGGGCCCAGCATTTCCTGGGGCATGTCTCTCCCGCCAGCTGCTCTCACTGACATCTGGACACAAGCAAGATGTGGTCACTGCAGGGTGCCCCTCCCCCCTCCCTTCACCCCCTCCCCGCTCATCCCCCCCTGCCCCACCAAGGACCCCAGCTCAGGCTCTCACTGCTGCTGGGCTCCCCTTGCCTCCCTTCTTCTCCCCTCCGGACCCCCACCAAGGACCCCAGCATAGAGTCTCATCGCTGTCGGCTCCTCTCCCCTTCCTTCCCCTCCCCTCCCCTCCCCTCCCTTCTTCTCCCCTACCTACCCCCCACCAAGGACCCCATCGCGGACTCTCCTAGGAAAGGCTCTGCCTTCCTCCATCGCCCCACTCATCACAGCATCCTGGCTAATTAGAGGCTGGGGCTGCCTCTCCCCCAGGCCAGGCAGTGCTCCCCACTGGGGCTTCCTATGGGTGCCTGGGCCTGTGTAATTGTCTCATCCAAAGGCATATCGCTTCCATGAGGATTGCACAAGGGAGTCCCCACAGGAAGAACCTGGATGATACGACCACGGCCCCACCTCCCACATGCAGCGTGGTTCTTTCTCTGCTGCGTGTAGCTCTCTTCTGCCTACTCCATGCTGTGCCCCTCCTGCAGCTGCACAAACCCTGAGCTGCAAATGCATTCACTGGGCAGGAAGGGCCCTGCTGGCCACTGTGAGGCTCCTCATGGCCGTGAACCCTGCAGGGCTCCATGCTGCAGGCAGTGATGTGGACACAGATGTGGCCACTGTTCAAAGGTGCCTGGGAGACGCCGGAATCCGAGTGAGCCACAAACACCCCAGATGCTGCAGTTGCAGCTCTGTAATGCACCCGCCCGGCACCCCAGGTGGGGGCAGCTGACAATCAGTTGTGAAACATCAACGCCTCCATTTATCAAAATGCCCATGAGACGAACACCCAGACACTCAGCACCAATGCCACAACTTCTGGAGCTGCCCCTGAGTCACCTCTGCCTGTGTGGGCGCCTGCAAGGCTTGCACAGGCAACAGAATATGTGGAAATGTGTGGACAGGGCCACGTGTGCATGTGACTACATGTAAGAACTGTGCGTGGCAGGCATGAGCGTGGGAGTGTAAATGTGTGCATTCTGGTGTGGGAGTGTGCAGTGTAAACAGGCCTGTCTGAATTCGCCTGTGACCAAGTGTGAATATGTGTGCATGGGCACATGTGATCTTGAATACTCAATTGTGACTGGGTGTCGGTGTGAGCACACGAGTGTGCGTGTGGTCTGTGTGAATATGTGCCCATATGTGAGTGGGTGTGTGCACAAGCTGTGCCTGTATGCCTGGGTGTATGTGCAGTGTGTGTGCATGTGCATACACAGTACACAAGTAGGTGTATGTGCACACACGAGGGTGCACGCATGTGGGTTCAACAGCTCACCCTGCAGCGCTCCAAAGGACTCGATGGAGAGAACCCTCCTCCCCACGGCGGAGAGGCTCCGGCACACACGGCAGGAGGACATGGGCTGCAGCTTCTCTTCACACAGCGCAACAATGCTCTGGGAACGTGAGAGCACCTCAGACAGGAAGGCTTGGAGGAGGGGCCTTCTCCTGTGCCCGCCCACCCTACACTGCTGGACCCTTTGAAGGTGACCATGGGACAGTCCTCAGAAGCTGTCCGTGCCCGCCTTGCCCATTTTCTGGTATTTAAAAGGCAGCACATCTGGGCTGCAGAGAACCAGGAGGGTCATTACAAGCAAGATCTTTCATAAAAAAACAGACAATAAAAAGCCAAGTCCCCCTGCAAGCAAAATGCCCCGAGACTGTGGCGGCAGAACCCAGGCGAGGCTGCCGGGCGTGTGTGCTGAGCGTGTGGTGTCGGGTCTGTGGGGTCACAGCCTGGGGTGGCCCACAGCAGCCTCGCCTACCTGGAGGTCTGGCCGGTCTTCAGGGTCCTCCGCCTGCATCCGGCTCAGCAGCGCCTCCAGGTCCTGGCTCAGCCTGGGCTCCAGTGTGGGCTCTGCCACATACTCGAGGGCGGCCTTCAGCGTGGCCCCCAGGGAGTAGATATGAGCCTGTGGGCACGAGGGGCCATCGGCTCCAAGGCCTGTGCATGTGCACCGCCCTGCCCACAGCTGCCACTTCTCGGGGCCAGGAGCATAAGTTTCAGGGACCAGACCTGCCCTTTGTGGCTGGGTACCTCTCCCTGTGGAGATTCCCTGGAGCAGCAGCACCTGCGCCCACACAGCCTGTGCCCACGCAGCCCTTGTCCGCGCTGCCTGCGCCCACTCCACACTGCCCTCGTCCATGCTGCCCGTGTCCACGCCACCCATGCAGCCCATGCCACGCTGTCCTCATCCACGCTGCCTGCACCCACGCCACACATGCAGCCCATGCCATGCCACGCCACGCTCATCCATGCTGCCTGCCCCCATACCACCCATGCAGCCCATGCCACGCTGTCCTTGTCCACGCTGCCCGCACCCATGCCACCCATGCAGTTGGTCCTGGGTCTGTGCTGCCCATGGCCCCCACACCTCCGGGCTTCCTGCCCACTCCAGCCTCAAGGGGCACAGACCCCTTCCATGACAGCTACAGTTCTCAAGGGTGGGGCCTTTGAGTGTTTAAGTGAAAAACTTCAAAACTTCAAAAACTGGATTTCAGTAGAAGGAAGGAAGGGTTTTGTTTTTGTTGGAAAGTCTGGGTCTTCCTGCCATGCATGAGAGAGTGGACTCTGTACGAGGTCTGCCCTGGGCATGGCTGCACCGCAGGCCTGAGTGCTTCTTCCCAGGACGGCCGCATGTGGCATTTCACCTTCCTCACAGGAGGAAGTGGAACGCAGAGGGGCTCAGGAACCTGCCCGGGGCCACACCGCAGGTCACACAGCTCATGTGTGGGGCTGGGAACCAACCCAGGGCCTGCTCTTCCCCGACCTGTGCTCCCCTCCTGAGGCGAGTCTGTTCTCCCCAAGCGTCCCTCTGTGTCCCCTCTAGTTCAGGCTGGTTGAGTGGACACGCTCCTGAGTCCTGGGCGGCTGGGTGAGCACACCCGAGTCCGGGGCGGCTGAGTGGACACACCCGAGTTCTGGGCGGCTGAGTCCTGGGCGGCTGAGTGGACAAGCACCCGAGTCCTGGGCGGCTGAGTGGACAAGCACCCGAGTCCTGGGCGGCTGAGTGGACAAGCACCCGAGTCCTGGGCGGCTGAGTGGACAAGCACCCGAGTCCTGGGCGGCTGAGTGGACAAGCACCCGAGTCCTGGGCGGCTGAGTGGACAAGCACCCGAGTCCTGGGCGGCTGAGTGGACAAGCACCCGAGTCCTGGGCGGCTGAGTGGACAAGCACCCGAGTCCTGGGCGGCTGAGTGGACAAGCACCCGAGTCCTGGGCGGCTGAGTGGACAAGCACCCGAGTCCTGGGCGGCTGGGTGGACAAGCACCCGAGTCCGGGGCGGCTGGGTGGACAAGCACCCGAGTCCGGGGCGGCTGGGTGGACAAGCACCCGAGTCCGGGGCGGCTGGGTGGACAAGCACCCGAGTCCTGGGCGGCTGGGTGGACACGCACCCGAGTCCTGGGCGGCTGGGTGAACACGTACCCGAGTCCTGGGCGGCTGGGTGGACACACCCGAGGCCGGGGCGGCTGAGTGGACAAGCACCCGAGTCCGGGATGGCTGAGTGGACAAGCACCCGAGTCCAGGGCGGCTGGGTGAACACACCCGAGTCCGGGGCGGCTGGGTGGACAAGCACCCGAGTCCGGGGCGGCTGGGTGGACAAGCACCCGAGTCCTGGGCGGCTGGGTGGACACACACCCGAGTGCTGGGCGGCTGAGTGGACACACCCAAGTCCGGGGCTGCTGAGTGGACACGCTCCTGAGTCCGGGGCGGCTGAGTGGACACGCACCCATGCTCTGGGCTGCCCTGGCCCCAGGCCTCTCCCATGTGGTCTTGAGATGTTGTCACAGAACCCTGAGACCTGCCTCCTCAGCCCGTAGTGAGGTCCAGGGTGACCAGTGGGGCATCTAGTCTTCACAGGAAGCCCCGCACCCCGGGGCCCCAGGCCAGCTGGTCAGCCTGGCCTACTCCGCGTCTCTGTCAAGGTCTGTCTCAGGGTCAGGCTGCAGGGACCTGGCCAGATCCCAGGGCCCTGACTCCACCTGGGACTGGCTGTGACCACCACCATCAGCTCATCCAGTTCTGCCTCAAACTCCTTTTTCTCCTGAGATGTTTTAATTGAGGAAGACAAAGCCTCACAGAGAAGAACCCAGGAGCACCTAGCACCCAGCACCCCACACTTCCTCTTCTGGGCTATGAACCGCACCTCGAGGACAGCTCACTTCCACAGTCTGGGGTGAGTGTGTGTAGACAGCCCTGGGGCATTCTGGCCTGGACATGGGCACTCATGCAAATGCACACATGGTACACACGCCACACACGGCACACGCAGGTGGCCGGACATGTGGCACATGCAGAACATGCAGGCGGCCGGACACACGACTCTTCTCCCTCCCGAGCTACACGGGCGGCTGGATACACGTCTCTTCTCTCTCCCGAGCGGTACGCTGCCCTGCACCCTGGCTTTTCACACTGAATCCTCTTCCAGGTCAGGAGCCCAGACTGACTTTCCCTGTCCCACGCCTGGCCCTGCCTCCCTGCGGGCCGTTTTCTGCTTCTCTGCTACCCTCTCCCTTCTGCACCCTTCCCTGTGCCCTGGGCATCCCACCTGGCACACTGGTCGGGCCCCCTGCTGCTGGCCATCCCCACGGACTCGTGGCTGTGTGTGGCCTCTGGTAGGGACCTGGCTCCTCTCTGCCCTCTCATGGCTCAGAAGACACCGGCCCCAGCCACCATCTCAGCCTTTTTACCCTGGGCTGGGACCCTGATGGCTGCTCTGCTGCCACCTCCTGGGGCCTCCTGCTCCGTCTGGGGGGCCCTGCCACCCTCTCACGCCTGGGCCGCGTCCGCCTCCCTGGGGCGCCGGTGACCTGCGTGTCCGGGGTCTGTGCCCTCCACTCTGATCTGCAGCGGGTGTGTCCCACGCTCTGCCGCCACGACCGACGCTTCCGTGGGTGTCCCAGGGCGGCGTCTGTACAGCCATGTCACGTGTGCAAAGCCGCAGTTCCGGAAAGGGGAAGTGGGTTCCTGGTCACACCCACTTACAACTTGGGCAGCTGCGGCAAACCCTCCTGATGCACGACCACCGGTTGACTCTCGAGTCGCAGCTGAGGCGCCAGTCTCCGCAGCCCTGCCAATCTCTTAGGGAGACTCCCTCGCGTTGAGCTAATTTGCGTTTTTGTGATTATGAATGAGACCGAGCATCTGTTCTTGTCTACTTGCAGTTCTAATGTTTTCCTCTGAGTCCCCGTGTGAGGACTGTGCTTTCTCTGCTGAGCTGGGCCTGCCAGGTGCTGGCTGCCCTCTGTGTGTCAGGGCTGGCCTCGGCCTGGGCATTGCCCGCGCGCTGGCTGCTCTGTTGCTGGCTCCTAAGGCTTTTCCTGTGTCTTCTGACATCCGAGGGCTCTGACGTGTGGAATCTGACCTGTTTTTCCTCAGCAGCTTCGCAGGACGACGCTCTCCGCCCCAAGGTGAAAGGGACAGCTCTGTTTCTGCTATTTTTATACTTTTAAAACATCCAGACCTGATCTGTTTGAAGCTTCCCTCTGGCGTGTGAAGCCGGAGAGCCCCCTCGGCCGGCACTAAGGAAGGCTCCTCCTGCCCCCCGAGACACTGTCCTTGCAGCCAGGGAGCCTCACACTTGCAGGTCCCTCTGCGTGGCCGTGGGAGAGGAGCCCCTCAGAGCCCAGAGGATGCAGTTGACCCTCAAGGCACAGAGCCATATGGAGCCTGCCTTCCACCGGTGCAGGGAGCTCTGCATTTCCGCCTTCCGGAAGCTTCTGACCTCAAGGACAGGGCACCCTGAAGGAGGGAAACACATTGTGTGCTGCCCATGGGGGTCGGGAGGCAGCGGCATGTTGGGGAACAGGTGTCCACGGGAGCACAGTGCTGGAATCTGTGCAATCCCACTGTTGGAATCTGAGGAACTGCAGTGTTTGAGCCGGCAGCTAAGAGCAGCCATTTGAGTGAGTTTCCCGGGGGTCATGTTGTCAGGAGAGTCCCCTCTCAGGAGACAAGGACACCAGAGGCCCCAGGACAGCAGGATGAGGCTGGACAGAGGTGGGGCTGGACCATGGGCCGGCGTCTGGCAGAGGAAGGGAGGCAGGGGCCTGCTCTTGAGGCCTGCGGGTGGCAGAAAACCTTGTATGCTGTCCTGGGAGCACCAGATGGCCCTGCCTGGCTGGGCTTGGCAGTCAGTGAGGAGTATAGGGCTGTAGGGGCCCCACAGGGTCGTGGGGTGTCCCTTATGCTGTGTTGAGGTGCAGGAGCCAAGAGGTAAAGAGACAGGACACTGAAGAACTGGTGAAGAGCATCTGGACTCGGGGGCCACGTCACCTGTGAGTGGAGACAGGCGAGGCCCCAAATGCCCCAGAGCATCTGTATTTATTAGGTACAAGCAGGGGGCAGGGTCATGAGTGAGGTTATCATCTATAGACTTAGTAATAGGGCATACATAATCATGTGACTTACAAGTGAGGGGACCACCCCATTATGTCACCTGGGCAGAGAGGTGGGCCGTGTGCAGCAGGGGGCTGTGCCGTGTGCAGTAGCAGAGGGTCATGTTCAGAAAAGGGTCCACCCCCATTAGGTCACTGAGGCAAGGAGGTGGGCTGTGTGCAGCAGGTGTCATGTGCAATACTTCTTATCTGGGGGCTGGAGACTTCAAAGGGTTTCTAATGGAAGGATACTGTAAGCTTAACGCAGTGGGAGCTGACAGACTTGTGCTCTTCTCTAAGATATTTATGGGAGGATTCTTTGAGCTAGCGCAGAAGGGAGAAAAGACTGACAGGGTGGACAGCCGCTGTGACTGGTCACACCAGAGGGGTTCTTCTCCCTCGGTTACTTCCAGGATCTCAGGCCTGAGGCCGACTTTCCACAGGAACTGGATGCAGGTGCTACAACTCCTCTATCAGGAGGAGAGACACTTGCTCCAAGTCTGCCATACAGCGTTGCCCTTTCAGGCAGGGACGCC